CATCTCGACAGAATAAATTTAAACAATCATGTTTGCGGAACGGTTCCACATTTATTAAAATAGCAGTAATATCGGCAAAGAATGCAACTGCATTTTAAATACATATAAAATTTAAAAAGATACGTATTCATTATCAATTAGTGATACTCAAATAATTTAATAGAAGATATATCTCATTTGGGAGCAAACGAAAGTTACTTCTTCCTTCAATTTTTTTTATATAAAGAAATTAAATATAATTTAAATAGTTACTTGATTTTTCTCTTCTCTCTCTCTCTCTCTCTCTCTCGAGAATATCATTTAAGGATCTGATGACAGGAAAGCCATCGTCCATTCTCAAACCCATTCAACACGAAGATGACATTCTGTTGTTTATTGCTCAGATAATTTATATGCTGCATTTGATTTTTACTCTTATTTAAAATTATAATCAAATGATTATTTGCATTGGAGTAGTAATGTCGCAATCGAAGTGGCCAAATTATGATAACAATTTTGATGATATGAAGACGAAAAATGGAAGATCTCTTTACGAAGTATAAATTTCTTAAATTAAAATAATATGCATTGATGATATGACAACAGCTCAGAATTTTTGATAATTTTTTTTTTAATATCTGAAAATCATTGACCATTCAACATGTCCATTCCAATATCATTCGATATGTCCATTCCAACAAAATTAAAAAGCAAGAAGAATTCATCTGCAGATTAGCATCCAAAAATTGAGCGAAAATTCAGGAATAATCCAAATGGAATCATAACATAAGGAGGCAAAGAACTGATAAAAGACCGTTAAAAAGTCATGAGAGATTAAAATGAATAATACTGCAAGGTTTCTGATCACTTGTTGACCACTATCACTTTTTTTCGAAAGGTCAAAAAATGATGACGAAGTGAGAAAATTTCTTCCTACATGCCTGTAAAGCTCATGACTTGAAAAGCCGGATAAATTTGTACGAAACAAATGAAAGCGAATTCACAGATGGTTTTCAGATCATTTTTGCTGATAATTGTTGAAATTTTCAAGATGGGCGAAGGTTGAGGGCGGACGGTCGGTTGTAACTGGTGTTGTACCTCAAACAGCCGACCCCGTCAAAATTCGTCTCCTCTTGGTTAATTCTCTCCGACCACTCTCCCATCTACCCCGATGATGATCCAAGCTACAGTTGTTTCGAAAAATGTGGGATGGACTACACCAAGCTCGGGTAGGGAAGATGGACCTGCCTACCGGGGCAAAAGGTGCACCACACAAACGAGCAGCCACATCATCCATCCCTAATATATTTTCCCTTTAGTTCAGTCCTCCCTCCTCCTCCTCCTCCGTTTTCCTCAACTCTTTTTCTGCGGTTGCAAATACGTTAGACAGTCTTGACCTTTCGCCTGTTGCGCGAGAAATTACTGATCAAGTCGGTTATCACAAGTTGATCAATCATTATTCACTCATTTATTTTGATGTTTAAAATTAAAAATTGTTATGAGAAATTCTCCAATCAATTTATTTCAGAATTTTATTTTCCCAAAAGAAAATATCACTTCAAAACCTTGAAACGGAATTTATGAAGTAATTAGACATGTGAGCATTGTAATTGAGCTCAATATTTTAAGGTATAGAGATTTAGCATACTATACTTCTTAAAAATTACTAATTAATGTCTAAGAAACGAACTTACATATCCATTCATTAGTATGATTCTTTATTAGTTTCAAGGAGTTCTTAAAGCTTTCAGTATCCCTCAGAATTTTTCTAATCTTACCACAGAACTAGTAAATTAAAATGATAGAATGATTGAGCAGAAATGTGTCGAAAACTAAAATTGCTCATTCTATTCTTTAATTCTTCGAAGAATTTCTTACTAATTATCTCTTTGCTAACTTTTATGAATATTTTACTAAGTAATTATAAATTAAATTAATAATTTATTAAGCCGAAAATTTATCAGCGCAAAAAAAAGATTACAATTTTAAAAATAAAATAAATAATTTGATAGTAAATTATTTGAAATTGATTTGTTTCATCGTCATCTTCTCCTCTCCTTCTTTAGAATTGTTTTTCAGTAAATTCATGTTTCGCTTTAACTACCACTTAACCAATCAGCAAACTAACAAGCCTAAAGGCTTTAACTCCCTCAAGAATAATGCTCATTTCATTTTAGCAGCATTTGTAAAAGAATTCTCAAAATATTGCACCAATACAACCCAATATATATATGTATATACATATATATAACTTGCACCCTGAAGCTTATTGAATTAAGATCTCATTGTATCATTGGCCCGATCGGACCTACCAATCTTTATAACTGCCCATCCTATCTCAATCTTTCCTGAAAGCTCTTTCTAATTTCCGTCTTCTTTTCCTTCTTTTATCATTTCATTTGAATATAAATGCTTTGCTCTCTCTCTAATTCAATTTTCATTCAGTAATTTATTATTGTTTATCCATTCAGGCGTTATAAGCTTATCATTAATGATCATATTTAGGAGAACTTAATTAAATCAACATTTAATTGTTTGCAAAAATTTTAAGCAAAGAGTGTGTCTAATTTGCATTTAAATATTCTTTCAATGGAGAACCAGAGAAGATGAGATATATTCCGTTAAAGCATTTGTTTATTTGTTTATCTTTTTTCTTCTGATACTAAAATAAATTTTCCAATGTTTTTTTCCTCGATGTTTTGCTCAATAATATATGCGCTCGAGAAGTTACCTTCCATTATGAATTCAGCATTTAATTATGTGAACAATTTCATATCTGAAATCAAGAATACCTTTTGTTAATCAAAATTAAATATTTTATTTATTATTTACTTCTTCTATTTAATTATTTGATTACCTTGAAGTAAATTATTATTAGCTACGGTATTTATGAATGAATTATTAAAGTGTAAATTTTTTGATGTTTTGTTGCATCTAAACATTTCATCTCTTATAACTCTTATAACTTAGTACTATTTCGCTTTCTCTAAAAATTATCGTAATCATTTATTTTCTGTTGTATTCAAAAATACATTCAAATAAAATTACGAAATTTTAAATGCTTTATTCTAATTTTCAAATTTGTTGCTTGCGTTTTCAAATTATTTACTTTTTCTCCTTCTACACAAAATCTCAAAGTTTCAGTATCGCAGCGATGCCGTATGAACGGCCGGATAGTTTACCCGTACGATTTTCACCTTCACGTAAATTAAAAAGCTTAGATAGAATTCATAATGAACGAAATCAAGCGGAAGAAATTCCGCTTCCGCCAGCGTTGCATCGTTTTTTAGCTGCACCAACAACACGATCACCTTCCAGTCCTCAGGTTTTCATCTCTTTTACTTTTCTTTGTTTTAATCAATTAAAATTTGTTTTTGAAATTTATCCGTTATGTTTTTATTTTCATTTAATTATAAAACACCCATCTAATTTAAGCCATTTTTTGCGGAAAAAACGAATATTTCTTCAAATCATTAAATAATTTCAACATTTTAATAAATAAACATTTTCTTTTTTGAGTTTTAATCTAACCTAATTGATTTAATGGTATAATTGAGCTTTAACCTAACCTAATCAATTTAATTGTATTAGTATCATGCTAACATAATGTATACATACAAAATGATCGTATCTTTACGGATCATTTGTATCGGCATTAAATACGATACAAATGGTACTCATCGATATTGAATACCGATACAAATGTTTGTATCAGATATTGATGAGGATAAGTTTGCATTGTTTGTTAGTATAAAGGTAAACAAAGGAATAGTTCGTATCGAACGGATAGTTTATTTATTTATAATGGCTAAAACTAACGGCATGTTTGGAATATCATATCATATCATATCATATTACATTTAGCTGCCACTAATAATTATAAAATTATAAATGTTACACAAATATACATTCTTATAATAACAAATAACAAAAAAAATTTGTTTAATCCGATATAATATATTATTTCTACCAAAAAATTTCATAAGCAGCAATTAATTAATTAATTTTTAAAACTTTGAAATGGAAAAAAATTGATAAGGTCTTATCCAATTTTTTATCAAATAATTAAATGAATAAAATTAAAAAATAGAAATTAAAAATTTCAAATTAATAAAGAATGTGAAATGAAATATAATATATTATCATATGTTTATATTATCATATATTTGTTTGTAAAAGTTTTTAAAATTCAATTTAGATAAAAATTATAGAAAAATAAAAAAGTGGAAACGGAATTCGCAAATATTATTATCCGACCCGTAAATCATTTATCTCGCTGTGGTTTCTCAGAATCATATATCACCGCCGGGAAACTCAATTCCCTTCATTCCCTCTGATCCCTTTATAGTCATTCCGAAGCAATAGTTTGCCATTTCACACGATTATAATTCATTTTCTTCTTTGAAGTATAAACCTTCTCAATTATTTGATATCCTTTTGAATCTAAAACAGCTTTATCCATTTTTTAAACATTTCGATTAGTTTTATTATTGTTGAATAACTTCCGGCAATTTTCCCATAATCTGAAACTTTTCTAAACTTTTAGGATAGATCTTATTCAACTTCAGAAATTTATGTCGGTATTTAAAAATGCCCCGAAATTATTTTCGCATTCATAAAGATTTATTCATAAAAAATTCTTATGATCTAGCTAACTTAAAGGAATAGTTTTGACAATTGATACAATATAAGTTTGATTAGTGCTACTACTGATTTGTGTTATCTGATGCTTCTTACTTTGCTACCAATAGCTCCACTCTAAATGACCAATTGACCAATTGATGCTGTCACCTTTATGACTATAGTGATGAATGAATGAATTGTATATCCAACACATATTCCATTACTCATCAATGCAGCTGTCTCTTTTATTATCAGTCGGTCTATTAGTTCGAAAGGAAAAAGAAACTTGCTAAGTAATTAACAATAAAAAAGAAAAATGAAATATAAACAAACTTGTAAAATTAAGAAAAAGATCTTCTAGAAACAATATCAGTTACTTTATTCAATTTTAATTCAAACTATTAATTGCAATTATTGTTGTTATTGTTGATCTGTTGACAAACAACAATAATTATTTACGTTTAAAATAACAAGAATGATAGAAATTTTAAATGATAGAAAACACAATAGAATGATAATATAATAGATAATATAAAGATATAATATGATAATATAATGATAATATAATATAATATGGTAATAATGACAATATAATAGAATGATAGAAAAAAATAGAAATTTTCTTATCAAATATTCAAAAAGGGATTAATTATGAAATGTGAAAAATATTAGGAGAAGCAATTAGTATGATAGATTTTAAATATGTGAACATTCTATTCACCGATATCATTTCTATACCATATCATATCATTTCCTTATTTAAGCAATTTTCGATTAATATTTATCAATGGAAACAAAGTACCGGAAAAGGTATTGATATAATTTATTATAGCTAAAAACAGTACTTCGATTAGCAGATGAAGACTTGGAAAATGTAACCGTACACGGAAATAGTTTCGTTTTCCGATGCAATCAATCGGGTATTTCGAAATCATTCAGCAAATATACATTCGATCAAATTTTTGCATCAGATGCTACCATTGTGCGTCATTAATTAATTGACTAAATTTTTAGTTCTTTAACTCATAGTAAAGATTGAGGGATTAAGTATTTCTGTATTGCAACGCTCAATTGCTTTACTTCATTAATTTTAATTGTAACTTATGCAGTATGGAAAATTTTCCACATATTATGATAATTAAACTTTTATGAAGTCACACTTTAATAGCTTATGATAAAATCTTGAGAAATCATAAAATCATGATACTGCAAAGATCATGATAATAATATGAAATCATATTAAATCGTGATAAAATGAAAATTCAAACAAGAAATTATTATTTTCAGCAACAGATATGTTCGGTTTGCTTGCCGGATCTGTTGCAAACATGTTTTAGTGGTTCTGATGCTTGCTTTATCTATTTTGGTGCTGTATCAAAAGGTATCGTTTTTTCTTAATTTGCCGTTTAATTAGCTAAAATTTTCTCTGATCTCAATTGGAAAATGAATCATAAATGAGAAAATATAGTAAACTGTCACAAATTGAATTAATTGCTAAATTTCATCTTAATTTTTATTGCTTGTCATAAATTATGATATTTTATTGGTGCCCATAATACGATAAGAATAATCAATGATAAGAAATGATTCCGAAATAGTTAATATGTAAGCGCAGATGACACATGCATGATAGCGCTGAATATGTGACATATGTAATTCATTTTATGCCTGTCATTAATGTCATAATTGTCTTCATTTCGATTTCATAGTTCTAATCATTTAAAAGAGATTTCAGTTCTAAAGAACTTTAAATTGCCGGGGATTATCAAAATTACCATATATAAGTGAAAATTTGAAACAAAGAAAATTTAATGAAATAATTCAAAAATGAGTTTGTCATTTAGAGTTTATCACTTCCCATATAACTTTAACTGAGAGTTTTAGTGAATCTCTCGGAGAGAATGATATCACTAAAAATGATGAAAAACTTCTACAGAGATCACAATCGTTTTTCATACAATTTTTTAGAAAACATTTTCTTTTTTCTGCAAAATTTTTATAGCCTAGGAAAAATCCCCGTACATTCCAGGAAATCCCGTTACATTCCAAATTTATTATTTCCAGCTAAAAATGAGCTACTATATTCGCAATATGGCCGACAATCGGATTTTACAAAAATGCCATCAGCAGCTAGCACAACTTCAGATTTACCTGGTCCATCATCATCTGGAATACAATATCCGGGTATTTTTCCATCTGCTCTTCTACTTACATTTCGATTGATATCTGAATTACGCCAACGTCGACCGGATTTTCATCATTCAGTTCGTATTTCGGCACTTTATTATTCTCAACGTCGTAATCTACTCATCGATCTTCTTGCTTCATTTATTCTACCCGGGGGTTAGTTCATTACCGTTTTTCTATTCAAAAAAATAATGAAAGAATCCATTATCATTCATTAAATCTTTTTTTTACGCTTCTGACCCCTTTTTCATCTCATTTCTTCCAATACTTAAAAATGCATCTTTAATCTGTCATCTTTTTTTGTAACGATACACATACATATACACACATGTATATACACACACACACACAATATACATACACATACCCACATACATATACATATATACACACGCATAACATACATACACATACACACATATACACACACATACACACGCACACACACATACACATGCACATACGTACATATACACATGCACACATACACGCATACATATACACACATACATGCGTATACATACACACATACACATATACACGTATGCACACATACACACGTACACATACACATACACACACATAAACACATGCACATGCACACACATACACATAAACATATACATATACACATACATACATGCATGTACATGCGCACACACACATACACATACACACATACACATGTACATATACATACATACACACACATACACATATACACATATACATACATACACATACACACATACACACACATGCACATGTATATATACGACAAAATTTTATTTTTCGGATAGTTGAGGGAGAAATTGCATAAATTTTAAAAGTAAAAAGGCCAAAATCATAAATCAAAGAAGGGAAGATATGTGCGGTAAGTATTAAATGGGATAATTAGTGAATTGCGACAAAAATTTATCATTCATTTCTTTCTTTTGTTTTTTTAGCCTTATTTTAACAGTTGGCCTATGAAAGATTGATGATAATAAGGCATGCAAAAAGGAATATTTATATTAACCAATTTTAAAATTGTAGAAAAAGATTTTTTTCTTTCGAAAAATTTAAAAAATTCAAAATTAAAGCCAATAGGAAAATTTAATTTTAGTAAATTAAAAAAAAAATGATTTTGTAAATTTTATTACACTGATCATTACTGTCATTATAGTATTGCTCTTTGCAAATCATAGAATGATCATTACAATCATTATAGTATTGCTCTTTGCAATTCATTCTGATAACTATTTGATAAAATTAGATTAGATATTTTTTAATTTCAGTTGCTTCACAAGATGTTATCATTCGAGAAGATTCGGTATTGGGAATCAAAATTGAGAATCATAGCGAATTAAGGGTGGATTCGGTGGGACAAGCAATGATAATGATCGATGACATTATTCAGGCTAGAATAACGGGTAATTCTTTAAAATCTCATCAATTTAAGTTAAAAAAAGATTTTCAGATAACTGTTGAAATGAATTTTATTCTTACATTATTTCTAAGATAAACCCAAATGAAAATTTTATGTGAAAAATATCTGAAAGTATAAATATAATTTCCAAGAGATATAATGACTAAAAATTCTTCATATATAAAAGACGTATGGATAAATAGCATTATTATTCATACTGTAAATCCGGCATCGCATAAGTAATGCTGTAAACTTTTTATATGCGATGTTTGTGTCTATGAATTTTATGATTCTATTCCACCGAAAAGTTTATGCCGATCATTTAGTCGTAAAAATTTCTTTAGCTCATCAGGTCAAAGTAATAGAAATTTGAATTCCTATAAGATGTTATAAAAAGTTGAAAGATACGGAAGAATTATATCGTATTAAAGTTGTAGACAGTAGTAAAATGCCTAGATTTTTATTATTTAATGACCGAAATTTGTCTTTATTTTCCTCTTTCCCATAACTAAAGTATTCCGTAAAATATATCGGAAAAGTAGAAAAAAGAATTTTTGATCTTTTATCAGGAAATCCTATAGAAGTATTTGTATTATTAAATTAATTATGATAGAATGGGATATAAATTTCAGTTAAAAAATTACTAGCAATGAAAAAAAGGAAAAGAACATTAGGATTTGTTAAATGAATATGACTGTCACCAAAATATCATATTTGAAATGTTAACATTATTCCATCATTTCACTATCGCCATCATATAATGACCAACCACTTCATACATATTTACTTCATTTCAGAAGATGAAAATGAACAACGTTGTGGACATCTTTTTTTTTACATCAATTTATACAGGCTAGTTTATTTCTTCTTTTTTAACATAAATATTCTTACAAAAGATATTTTTCTTATTCATATATAATGATAAATGATTATCATCAATGGAATATCATTATCATCAATAGAATTATCATCATTATCATCAAATTTTATTATCATCAATGGAATATTCGTAATTTTTGCATTTTGATAAATTATAATTGTATAATTAAGAATCGTTGAGAATCGTTGAATAATTAATAGTCGGACGAATTTTTACTAATCTTACCAATTGATGATAAAATGAAAAATATTTCCATCAATTTACCATTTTTATTGTTTTTCCACCAAATTAATTTGATAAAACTTTTTTTATTGGCACATTTAGTAATTCAAATATTTCAATTTCTTGAAATTTGAATTAAAAAAATCTTTTTTTCTATTTTCTTAATGAAAAATCTAACTTTTTAAATTTCAATAAATATTTCACTTAGCATTTTAATCGTAAAAATATTAAAAAATATGGTATTAATGAAAAAAAAAAGAAACTTTTCTTATTTATATCTGACCATTAAAACTTTTCTTTTCCGTCCCTAACTGTTGAAATTCGTATTTTTATTTTGATATTTGCAGACACCAATTTTTCTGACATCAATTGATCATTCTTTGTTATGTACAATAAATTGTGTGATATATCTTTTCGGCTGCTATTAAATTTAATTTTATGAAACTTTAATCTAACAACAACTGTTCGTATACGACGATTTATTTCACACTTTAAACTGTTGACAAATGTTTTGATACTAATTCACTGATATGCCATCAAATTACAACACTTACAACGAGTATTGCTAACAAAAGCATGTTAGGAAATATTGATCCGAAAGAATAATTCTAATTTACAATTATTCCATTCTATTTTCATTTCAGTTATTGCCAGTCTAGCAAGATCATTTAATTTATATCAAACGTTTAAATACTAAATGATACATAGCTGCTCGAATATGAGCTAAAATAAAATAAATTATAAATTTGAAAAAGAAATCGCTTCTATCATTTTTCTTATAAATCACAAAATACATAAAATTCAAATTTTATCACTTCCCTACTAAAATCACTATATAATAAATTTCAGGTATAAAAAAAATACATCCCAATTAATTGGTGGACGATCACGATTATGTCTGGTAGATTTAGGACTTGGTGAACGAACATCAAAAGGTGATGTACAAGCAATGACAATGCCTGTTATCACTAATCTCTTAGTTGCATTATTTCAAGGACAACGTTATCTTCCAAGCAGGTTTCTTCTTATCAAAAAAACAAAAGATTTAATTTCATTTAATGCTTTCTTTTTTTTTTGAATCATCAATTATCAATATGATAAAATTTATGACATTGTTTATCTTAAAGAGTAAATGAAGAATAGCTATATCACAACATTTGTTCAATTCATCTAACTTAAAATCATTTATCAATGTTTTTTTCTAATTTTCAGACAAAGTCCGTTGTGTATGTTATTAAAAGAATCATTAGGCAGTGTACAAATCAAAGCATCGCTTCTCTTCGCTTCACTTTCCGATCGAATTTCGGAATCGGAAAATATTTTACAAATGATGTCAAAAATACAACGTGCTGCTAAACCACGAAAAACACATCGTGTAAGTAAATTGTAGTTGTTAACTTGTTAAAGCATAGAATGCATTTCTTTGTGAACAGTAAGTGTAAAGCAAAAATTGCTATAAGCAATGTTTCAAAAGTGTGATCTAATATTTCAGCCTATCTGATGATAGACTGATTTTGGATATATGGCTTCCTAGTAGGCTATTTCGAGATTTCAATTAATTTTTCATCTAAAGTATGCCTAAAGAAATTGATCAATTAAAATTAGGCCCACAAAGAAACTATGCGATTTTTTATTCTTTAGATAACACAGAGGAAAATTATCGAATCATAATTTTAGAAATCAATCTATTCAAGAAATCTTATCTATCGAAAAATGAAATATTTAAATAATCATGCTTACTTTTAACAATGCTTCTTTTAGCACAATATAAATTTAAATTTATTTACAAATTATTAATTTAGATATTTTATAGATTATAAATTCAGAGCATACTATAATTCAGATATATTATAAATTCAGATTTATATTATCAATTCAGATTATTTCCAGGAAAGACAATTCCGATATATTGTGCAGATTATTTGTTATTATTAGTTGCTTTTATTATATCTTCCAAAATTTTCTTTTCATCGTCAGCTGTCCTATCTATTTAAGCGGCAGGCATTTAGACATTGGTCATCTTTTGTTTTATTTCATCGTAAAATTTTCAATTACACTAACAATTTTGATCTAATTTACCAAGCTTGAATTTTTATATCGCTAACTTTGAATCAACCGAATCTTCAAGATGAGAAATGAGCTATGTATCTTCTTATCCATCTATTAAAGTTTCTGACTTATTTTCAGTTAATTTAGTAGAATTTAAAGTTAAATCTTTGAAACCCATGACCTCATGATCGATCTTTTCATCCTCTTACATAATCTTTCACAATCCTGCAAAATTTTATATTATTATTAACATAATTTTGGGCAGCTTCAGGAAATTTTTTCGTAGCTGTCATGTTGGATAAACTTTTTAAAAACACACCATTACTTCAAGAATATTTGGGAATAAATCTTTGCCAAAAAATCTGTTGCTGTTTTCATATCGCTGAAAACTATCTTCAAATTATAAAATTTAAAAGAAACTAACTGCCCAGCGAAATTTTAGTACTGGCAGGTCACGCACGTTAATATAGTAGTAATCATTAAATTCAATTAAGTGAAACAAATATTGAACAACCATTATGTGTAAATTAATGGCGTTATGGTTAAAATAAAATAGACACCCAAATTATTTTCTTATTGTTTCTTTTGCTTTATTTCAGCCTTGAAAAATTACAGAAAGGAAATGATCTTTTGTGGCATCAAAAAATTTATTTCTCATTGGATGGAATATTTTCAGGCCGGAAGTGATTCATCCTCTTCCGATTCTACTCGTCGGCGTCTAGCTACAAATAATGAAGGTAATTCGAGTTCAGAGCAATCGTGCGCCGAAACAGTCATTTTCCTTGGACCTTCTGTTAGGTTCATCTTTTTTTTGAACTTTTAAACTCTCATTTTATTGCAACTTATATTTTTTCAAGAGATTAACTATGAAGTGCTTGACCTCTACAATTTCTTCATAGATTTGATTCGGATACTGGCGCAATTATTGAGTAGGCTTAACTATTTTATTTTATTTTATGACAAAATCATTGTATCCCAGGATCGATACGAGCAAGTTAGTATGATGAAGAAAAATTTGGAAATTTAAAATTTTTCAATTTCTTATTTCTATACCAACATATTACTATCTTATATGTATGCTCACTTAAGTTTTTCGACTTTAACCTATCGCACAAGCATAAATATTAAAGTGGTAAATGGCCAGAATTGACAGCCTTGAGGATATGGCACCAACAGAATAAGCTACATCCTCAGGCTTAGGCCGTAATCTAATTTGTAGAAAGGGATTTTTGGGTAACCAAAGGTTTTTGTGATCATGCTTTTTTCAGTTACTCTTAATATCTGGAAAATGTGTCGGTATTTTTTAGCGATCTCATGTTTGTAAATGAAATATAGTTTCATTTTCAGATTGGGATGAAGAGCTAAGACAAAAAGAGTATTATAATTAAATAAAGTTAAACTGAGCAAAGTTATGAACTTTTATTTCTTATGAATTAATTTGTGAAATTTGATAGTTGATTTTTACAATTTTGCTAGAAGTTTGAAAAGAATTTTTTCAATTTTACAGGATAGAACCAACTACTGAACAGCAACAGCAGCCGAAGCGAAAGACAAGTGGAAATGGAATTGATTCGATGAAACGAAAAATGATCCTGGACTGGATCAAAAACACTCAAGAAAGTGATTACTCTCAACCTGCTAAGGTTTTCTATTTGCTCAATTGTGCCTATATGTATCTATGTATCCAACCACTTCAAAAGTCCACTAGTGCTAAGAATATCTTATGCGTTTCAAATCATTACAATAATTCAGCGGCTGCTTACAAATCATTTTAAATCTTAAATTTATCTCTGCGAACATTCACATTTTATTATTGATATAAAAACTTTATCATTTACCTAATTACCTATACAAGTTGCTAAATCCATTGTCACTGAAAACTATCTTTTAGATTAGTGTTTGTGTGCAGTGTAATGAAGACGACATAGATATGGAAAATTTACAACAGTATGGTTGTCGACGACAGTTAGATGATATTCTGGAGGACGATGAAGAAGCAAGTGGATGTCATTCACCGCGGAGTCTACCTACCACTGAACAGTTCCTCGAATCTTTCCAAAATATTGGCACTCTTCAGCAACCATTGAGTATTCTTAGCTTGGATAAAGTTTCCGCTTCAACATGCGGAAAAAGCACATCCGAAAATGTTCATAGCTATTTTCTCTTAACTTTCTTAATTTTTCAAATACTTATAGGAATACCATAAGGTATTACATCGTCTTCATGAATTAATATAATTACTTCTTACAATTAAAGACCATTTTGCAATTGTGTAGTACGCTAGCAACAACGTAAAAGACGTTGCTCATTATTCTATTCACGTGTAATCTGTACTTCTCACCTTAAAAGGTTATTTAAACATTAATGTTTTTGTAATATGCTTCTATAAATTTACTTATTTACTTAATGTTTTAATTTCATCACCTTTTCATACTTAATTCAGGAAGTGGAAGATGACGATCTAGAACGAGCGATGGCTGCTAGTATCAGCTCCATACGTTCACATGAAATACTTTCACGATTAAATGATGATTTATCAGAAAATCAACCTGAGGTTAGCTTTAAAAATTTCAAATTACGAAATCGAAATGTGTTTACATTAGTTTTATTAAGTTTTTTTCTGCAAATAATCAACAAATGATCATCGAGGTTGTCAGGAAGATAAGTAAACAATAAATGTTAATGTTAACAACTGTAAACAAATTATCAGTAGCCAAATAAGCTTTTTTAATAAAGAAAATAACAAACAAATAGATGGACAATCAAATTATTAAGTAAATAAGCTTTATTATTGCAATCATTAATTCTTGTTTATTTGAATGTATTCATTGAGAGAAACTTGTTGACCAATGGCCACATACACTTTTATCCTATCTAATTCCTGTTGATCATAAAATTCCCCAGTATAATTGCCACATAATTGGCGATCATTTGGCGCATCGAGCCATTTACTATTTAAATGACCGTAAATTTGTGTATCTCCAATAGTCAGTCAATTGACAAGGAAATTACCGATCTTGTGCTATTTAATGTGATACAGGGAGAATTAAAATCGTTGGAAACATTTTCAAATTAAAAAAAAAAAAGCTCATCAAGATTAAGACTAAATGCCAAGCATATCTTAATATTGGTAGTTATTTGTTTAGAAAGGAAAATTACAGAAAAAGATGCCGCTTAATTTGAATTTCAAGTGAGACATATGTAGATTTATTGGTAACAGTATGGATCGCTGGGAAAGTTTGTTCAGTATCAATGATACTTCAGCAATAAATCTTCCTTTTCAATCTTCTTAGAAAATTACTGCCATATGTTTTTAATCAGAAATGGTATAGCCAAACAAATTATCTCAAAAAGTGTATTTCCTAATTTATTGTAATTGCGGTAACGTTGCTTCGTAATTTTTGCATTCCATATGATAGAAATGGCTTTTTGATAGATTAATTTTTAGGGAAGGATGAAATTTTAGTTTTCTTTTAAATTTACATTCTTATCGATTTCATATTACTCCCAATGATAGATGTCATATTGAACTTCTTAGAAAGTTAATTATCCTCTCTCTCTCTCTCTCTCTCTGTAACTTTGATGAGTTACTATCCTGAAACTCATTTATTTAATAGTCGGATCAAATTAACGTTATGTGTTTAGAAATTTGCAAAATTTTATTATTAATTTATTAGTATTAACTGCAATACTTTATCCATTTTTTTCCTGTCAATTAAAAATTTCATCCTTAAGAAATTAATTAAATTAGGTAAAGTAATATATGAATAAATCTTTACAAAAATGGATATGAATAAATCTTTAAAAAGAATGAATGAATAAATCTTTAAATCTTTAAAAAGATTTTTTCAATATTTTGCAATGAATAAATCTTTAAAAAGATTTTTCAATATTTTGCAAGTTTTTTACTTCTAATATTTTTTGAAATTTTCAATCTAATTCTCAAAATATCTTATAGTTGAAAAAAAAAATGATATTCTAATTGAATTTTTCTTAAACACTAATGATTTTATTGACAGCTAAATCCACGTGACAGTTAATAAATTAATTGCAAAAAATTTGTCGAAATTGAAAAAAAAAGGATAGAAATGATTATCAAATGATCTTTCAAGCGTTTTCATTTAATGAAAAGAAAAAACGTAATATGAGTACTTTTTGCAGAAAGGTGAGTAAAGATAAATTATATAATTCAGAGATCTGTGATCGAAAACAAAAATCGATATCCATTCAATTAAATTTACTAAACACAAGTAAATAATTAGGCGAATTAATAAAAGAACTGAAGGAAATAGTACCATTTAATTTGGAAAATTTGAATTATTGTCAGAATAGATACCAAATATCTAAATGTATAACAAATTAATTTAATTTGAAACTCATTATCAGAATTTATTGAAACCAGTTTTCGATTTCATATCCAAATCTTGATCAAATATCATAAAACAAAAATTTAAAAGAAGGGTACTGAAATAGTAAATGTGATTGATTAAGAATGACATCTTATAATACCAGGCATGCTGATAATATATAAAATTAACGGATTTGTCCTTCTGATTCTCTTTTCTCATCTCATTCTCTTTTCCAACCTTCTCATCGATAAATAAGAAATTTAATTCGATTCTTTAATTCGAACTGGCGCTGATTTGCTAATGATAAAAGATGAAAATATAAAATAATCAATTAAATTTTCATGGTCAACACCCGAAAAAGAATTTCACCAACCATTTACACTTATTTTTCTCAAAAAAATCTTTCTTTTATTTTAGAATACCACCCACACACATACAAATTTATTTGTCGAATAAATCTGTATCTTTAAATTTAAATTTAAATTCTTGAATTTCTTTATAGAAAATGAATCAAATATCGGGAAGCATGCTGTTTGCATCGAACTTTGAGAAGAGAAACTTTTGCATATATCCTAGAAAAAGTCACACCAAATGATAGCCTTGAAAATCGAACATGATACCAATGATTTGTTTGCAGAATATATCAGAAAGTGATAGTTCACTGTTTGGAATTTATCGAGGAGCATTGAAATCGGAAGCTTATACGGATGACAAATTGAGCCAATTTGCTGAAACCAACGAGAAGAAGAAGAAAAAATTCGTTCCATTAAGCTGTTGCAGAAGTAGCATGGTTAGTTGAAAGTTTCATTGGCAGAATGCGGGTGCAGTTAACGAGAGAAAAAGATATTTCAATATTTTAGGTGGAAATTTGCAGATTAACTGTAGTTTGATGGTTTCGTGAAAATATGAAACACACTTCTACCAATATTTCATCTTTATCTTATCTTCAACTTTTTTCTATAGGATTTTATCTAATCAGATCTTTCTGAGAAATTCTCGAAAGATGCCGTAACATTTTTTACAGCACATTTCAACTTTATTATTTATCACTTCTTGTTTACTTCTTTAGCTTTCATCGGTAAGTAGCGGTGGTTATGGACAAACTAGCTCACTTACTGTTCTAAAAGCAACGGAAAAAGAGGATGTACGGGAGAGTAACAAGTTGGCAAGCAGTACTTTTTCGCCATCTTTATTGGATCAACCAACGGTCATTATGAAAAATAGCAGTAATATCGCAATGAGCAATAGCACCGCAGTGTCACGATCCAGTACACATCCATTAAACAATTATTCTCCTAGCAGGTCTCTTCCTTAAAGTACCACTAGACAATTATTCTGTTAGCAATTATGTTTCTTAAAGTACCATTGATGATCCACTGAGAGGAGAATTGTCATGCAGTATGATTAATTCCATACTATTCTTTTTTTTTACAGTAATCGGCCAGAAGTACTGCTGAAAAGTAAGTTACCACGACGGACTGCGGAAAATAACATACGTAAAGTTTCTCCCGAAAAGCAATCAATGTTATTGGAACGTACGCCACTACAATATCTCGCTGCTAAAAGTTCACGTCGTGATTCGTTTGATTCGAAAAAAGAAACCAAGAAAGGGTAATCTTCTTGAATATAATTGATTTTTTATAAAATAATTCAATTTTGAAAATATTTTAGAAATTTTGAATTTTTTAATAAGCATTTTCAATTGTGAAAAATTTAATAACATTTTATTGCGACGCTAGAAAGCTGTTCTTCTATGTAATTATCAACTGAAATTAAAACTATCAAATGATCAACAATCCAACAGCTGGATAGATTGATGAAATTAATTTGTGAGACTTCAAAAATATACGACTATTCCGCCAGAAGAAGAATGAGATAGCCGTGGTAATAAATTTCAATTACTCAATAATTTATTTGCAGCAAACGCATTTTTGAAAGACGAAATTCGACTGATGCCAATCAAAGGACAATAAATTTTGTTCCCTCACCTTATTCCATGGCATGTTTTTCTTCATATTTATGACACAATGATCGAGTAATTAAATTAGTGAGCGTCGCATTAATGACTGACTCCCAAACTAGTAATTAAAAAATTGCTGCCTGCTGTTTCTAATTAAATTACTAATTAAATTAGTGAATGAATAATGGCTACCAGATGGTTTAAATTTAGGTAACTAATGCAAAGCAAGATACGGGAGCATATTCATCAGGACATGGTAGCGATGAAAATGGTTCAATCTATAGTCGACCACCTCTGACCTTATTATCACCCCGTTCCAATCGACCTCGAAATCGCGAAAGTTTTTCGGCTAGCAGCGGTTACGAAAGTGCCACCGGTGTGGATGCTGTTAAAAATTATGGTAAATCATTTTTTTGATAAAATTTTCTCTCTTATTTTATCTTAATCTTTCGGCAATTTTAACTGTGAAGAGGCAAAGGGATCGAAAAAAAATGAAGTCTCTAAATTTCTAGGCTTTCGAATGTTTTGTTATTTTTAAAGCCTGAGAAAATCAAATACGACATTTGACTAAAACTTGAATTCATTTTTAAAGTTTTCAGGATCGTTTTCAAAAAAACGACTTTTCGAACTATCACAGATTCATTCTTCAAATAAAGTAGGCATTTGACAAATGGATTTATTTTTGGAAGTTCTTGAACAATCTAAATATATATCCTTGAAAAGTAAAAAACTCCAAACCTTAGGTTTTTTCTTCAAGTTTGTCTGTCAGAAGATCTTTACCTAATCTTGAACAATTCTAAATATATATATAAGTATCCTTCAAAAGTAAGAAACTTCTCCAAGCCTTAAGTTTTTTCTTCAAGTTTATCTGTTAGGAGAGTTTAGATAATTGATAAGAGTTCAGATAATTTCAAAATTAAACATTGATTTTTTTTTACAAGCCTTCAATAAAAATTTCATATTTTTAGCATGCATTATTGATGGATAAACGAGTTAATTTAATGATTAGACGACAAAATCGTCTTCGTGATGATTTACATGATGCGAAACGTCTGCTAGGTGTTGCAGATGAACATTTCCTTACTGCATCCACGTCTAATCTTCAAGGAGCTACGTTATTAGAAGCACTTACTCAGGTATAATCCATTCCCTGTTTGATATTTCATGGATTTATTATGAATAAATGAATTAATTCAATAATTATTATTCGTTAATGAAAGTTGGTGAAACATAACTTCGATATTAATTAATTCTATTTTCATCCTACGCCTTCTTTTGAATGATTTGAATGATACGCCTTCTTTTGAATTTTTGAAAATTTGTGTACGAAATATTTCTATCCTTTCAGGAAACACGAATTTTGGAAAAACGTTTGATAGCATGCCGTAATCATGCAATGATCGTAACGTGCCTTTTGTGATTTTTTTTGGCTTGATCTCATGTTGATATATTTATATATGTATATATAGTGAATGATGTATCTCTTTTTGATGTTATCGCTTGTTATCTTTCCCTATTAATATTGCAAATTGTGTAAAGTTCAAAAGTTTAATTGTAATCAATTAATAAATACTGCTAAAAGAAATAGAGAAATGAAGAGTAGTGTAGTAAAATAATATTCCGGATTATATGAACTCGATTTATCCATATAATGAATGGGAGAAAGGAATCATATTCTTGCGGTAGATATGTTCAAGTTCAGGTTTCAATAAAAGAATCCATAAATTGGAGGTTTTGGGATGAAATCAGAACAGGACCGGAATAGAGAGGAGAACTGAAAGAGAATTTGGTGTTCGAAATAGTGGGATTTCTCTGAGTGGGTAATTAAGCTCCGAAACGGGCAAGACGAAAGCTTTTTACTTCATTCTGAGCGTTACAACAGATTCAACTTTTAGTACCTGAAGCCAGGAATGGGTATTTGCGGATTTGTATCGTAATGACAACCGAATGGATCATCGAAATTCATAATATGAATGGCGCATGTGTACTATGGACTATGGAAGAGAAGGAGAGCAGATAGGGAAAGTGAGCAAAGGAAGCTCTTCTATGCTGGAAATCAGATTTCGCCGGCTGGAGTCAATGAAAGCTACGGGAGTTCATCTGATCTTTACATTTGCACTAATGAACTTAGCCTTTATTCTCTATTGCTCCGTACTGTTTATTCAATTTTTTCATTTCTTTAACGTATTACATAGGGAACTATCGCATATTGTTTTAGCGAATGTAATATTGAAACATTCGGAATGTAAAAAGGAATGGTCGGATATAGCGTGGAATTATTGTACATTGTTTTAGCGTCGAATGTAACATTGAAACATTGAAATCGTAAAAGGAATGGTTGCATGCATATGTGATTGAGATTAGCGGAAAAGCAACTTCCCAAAATGAGCATTTAACAGTAGAAAGATGTGTATTTGATTGAAGTTGGTAGAAGGGACACTTTCCGGAATGTTTACGTACCAACAAAAATATGTTCGCTACAGTTTGAAATCGTGAGATATATGTTTTCACAAATCGAAGTGTATGCAGATGGTGTTACGGCTGTGTTGAGTGAGTGATCATTTCAAGCGTAAGGTTGGAGTATGCCGAGTCAGATCGCTCGAGATGATTTTTAAGTTTCGTTGCACAGTACTATGTTTTCACTTCAGGTCCATTTCTAGAGAATATCTGGATTTATTGATTTATTGAACTCCTGCTATCAGTGTTAATACTTTCCGGCAGGGTTAAACATCATTACCTTACTTATTTCGAAATTTTATCATTCTCGGAGTTTCAAGGCTTAAAAATCATTATCTTTTCTTTTTTCCATGACAAACCAAATTATTTAGAGTTTTGCAGGAAACAATGAAAAGATTACATTTAACTTTAAAATCTAATTTGTCAAGGAATGTCTGACATAACTAATAGAAGTCTGTTTTTGCAATGAGATGCAAGTATAATGTTAATTTGGACATATCCGCTATATATATATTCTCTAATCTAATATGGAAATAATATGGAAATATTCTCTAATATGGAAATAATCCCCGTTACAGTTTAGACAATGAGTAGTAAAAGTGATGCATCAGGTGAGGGTGTTGATTCGGCATCAGATGTCGGGATGAAACGAACTGCTTCTTCTGATGATGAAATGAAGGTAATTGAAACATTATATGCGAAATATCCAGCAATATCATCTTTGTTTACCGATAACGTCGTAGTGTTATAAAATTAAATGGCGACGTGACAGATATCTTTGATGTGTCTACTTTTTATGATGTTTAGCTCCTTATTTTATAATATTTTGTTCAGTTATAATGTTCATTTGAAAATTTTATGATGTTTTATATTTCTTTATGATCGGCTTCCTTATCCTAATGGTTATTTGTAGCAGCATTTAAAAAACTTAGTGAATTACTTTTTCGATAAGGATAGAAAATTTTTTAATTTTAAATTCTTCATAATATTCAAAACTTTCTGAGTGTTTCAGAATCCATCAGCAAAAGGTAAATCGAATTCGGATAGTGAAGATAATAAGCAAAAAAAAGCAAGGCGTTCCACCCGTGCTACTCATCAAAACAAAAAAGTGATAGAGAGTGGTAGGTTCTGTAAATTTACTTTTCAAACCAATTCTATTAACAGTTACTGAAGATTTTAATATACGAGAAAGCAACATATCCTTACTTGTCAAGAAAAATGGATTGCCAAATTTCTCTGAAACGAAATAAAAGAGGATCAATTGTTATTCATTCGGTGTATTTTTCCCGAATTTTTGGAGTTTAGTTGTTAATGTTGTTCATATCTTTATCTCTGGTTGAAATTCGCTCTGTTTTAAAAAGCCTACGCTATTGATCCTAGTAATTCACATTCTATTGTAGTCTCATAGGTTTCAAAAACTAGTTCCTTATTGATTTTAGGCACATCAGAAGATGATTCGGATTCGGATGTAGAAGCTGCAACAAGTAGTAGAAAACGTAAAACTGATAAAAAACTTAGAGGCCGCAGTAAAAAAACGCGGGCTCAAACTGATAGCGGTGAAGATAGCAGTGATGAGAGTGACAAGGTAAGCGAAAGCACCATAATCGGGTAATTTCATTTTCAAACCCATGTAAAATTATTTGATAATCGATTTAGTTTCTGCGCAAGCGCGCAAGAAGCAGTTAAAATGAAGTAGGATTAGCAATTTTACTCAGTTATCACTAAAAACTAGTTCTAGAAGTCGTGTTCTAGAAGTCATTAGTTGATGAGTACGATGATGATATGTTCTTGGATGAAGAAGATCGGCGTCGGTTAGAAGAAATGACGGAAAAGGATCGGGAAGCTGAAATTTTCAAACGTGTTGAGCAACGGGAAATTTTACGCGCAAGGTATTTTTCATGTTGTGAAATTTCAACTAATTTCAAATCTTGTTGAAAAATTTCAGTTGCATTAGGAAATAATCTTCTATATTTACTACTGATGGTTCTGATAAAGCGAACAAGCAATATTTTATTCATGGACATAACTATTGGCACATTTTAATATTTCAGGCATGCAATTCAGAAGAAAATCAAAGCTCAAAAAGAAGACAATGCAGGGCTGTTAAAAAAAGAGAAAAAAGAGAGGAAGAAGAAGGAAAAAGAAAAAAAGCGAGAGAAAGAAGGTATAAAGTTTAATCATAAGTGAATAATTTGGTTCATTTCTCATGCTTCATATGTCGAAACAAAGAATTTTTTCTATTTTACAAATTATTGCAGCTAGAAAAAAGATCGTTGAAAGTGATGTCGGTGAAAGAAATGGTGCAAATGGAAGTGTAGGTCCGTGCTTTATTAGTTACATAAGTGGATTGAATCGTTTGAAGAGAATAAAATCATTCAGTAAAAATAGCGCAATTTGAGGTGATGAGACTTCATTTCAGCACATTGTGTAAATGTCTCTAGATATTGGATTTTTTTTCTTTCCTACAGATAGCGACAAAAAAATGAATTAATTTGAAGATGCTGAAATCATTTCCATGGGAAGTGCTTAAATTAAATTGCTTAATAAAAACGGAATGCTTTGAGGGAATGTGGTTGAATTCAGTTGAATTCAGAAAAAATGAAAGAAAAGGGAATGCGTATGCTTAGATGAAAATGAATATATGAAATGATAAGCTGAAGCAATAAGAAGGGTCAGAGAGTGATAGGATGAAATTTTATAAATTTAGATGGAGTTAATCAACAACAAATCTCGTAAAACGTTCAATAAAAATATGTTGCGAGTTACAATGCAAAATTTGAATTTTTATGGAATTTGTTTTTTGATTGAGTTCTCTTCTATCATCATTTTTTCAAATAACTTTTATGTTTGCAATTTTCAGCACTTCTGGATGCTGGTTCTGCGAGTGATGATAAAGATAACAGCGATGAATACGATGAATTTCAGCGCCCATCAGAAATCCAGAAAAAGCAGAGACAGAAGAATGCAATGGCCGATCTTGTTAATCGACGAAAAGAAAAACAAGAAGGTTGTTCTACTATGCTCTTAAGAGCGTTTTTTCAAATTACGTAGTACCTTTTATCAAACTTAATGTACAGTCTTCATAGCAAATGGAACTTTCAAATGGTTCATGGAGCGGATTAAATTATGATTTTATGATTTTGAAGCTTTTTGGTTCTAGCTGCGCAGAAGAAAAAGACCCAGTCACATAAATCTGAACTGGATATTGATGAAGTGTTTGGGAATGATGGTAGCGATGATGATTACGAAAAAAGTTCCAGCTCGTCAAGTCGATCGAGCAGTAGATCTACAAGTAGGAGTACAAGTAAAAGTAGAACTCGCAGTCCGTCGCCAGAGAAAAAAAGAGAAGTGGGTTACTTAAGTTTCATGTTCTGATATACGTTTTGTATGTTTAAAACTATGATAAAACTTATAATTTTTTGTTTAAAGTTGCTAAAACTTATAATTTTTTGTTTAAAGCTGCTAAAACCGGCACAGACAAAACGGACAAAACGTTTTCGACAAAACGTTGACGTTTTCTTGAATAGGACAGGATCTTAATTCACTTTAATAGATCATTATGTTTGCTATGTTTGCTGATGCTGCAGAACTGATGCAATGACGATTGCTACTTATTTCTTGCTAATGAAAAATTTTTTGCCAAAATTTTAGGATTTGACCAGATTTCAATCAGCAATGTAAGACGTAGTGGTGATGAATTATTTCAATGTTAGCCATTCATTCTTTTAACTATACTTATGCGCCATATATGTACATGTCATTCTTTTGCAGGTGAACTGTCTTGCTGACTTGGCAAGGATACGTTTGTCTCGTTTCAAAATTTCTAAAATCGTTCATGCACCTTTCTTTAACAAAACGGTGATTGGGTGCTTTGTTCGCATCGGTATCGGAAGAAATAAAGACGGCCGCAGTGTTTATCGTGTATGATTTAATTATGTACTTGATTGTGTATTTATTCTCATTACAGGAATAAGATGTTTATTTTACTGAACACTATTTTAGGGAAGCAGTAAGCATCACAACATGTTTGTGAGCAGTTATACATGTTTCATGTGTAAAGTAATGCTATCCTGCTTTTTCATCAAATGAGTAATTTTTCTATGAACTCTAAAAGACGCAAAAATTTTAAATGAAAGATATTTTAGGCAGCTCAAATTCTGGATGTTGTCGAAACAGCTAAAGTTTATCAGCTGGAGAATACACGAACAAATAAGGGACTTAAGCTGAAACATGGTGAAGAAGAGCGTGTATATCGTCTAGAATTTGTTTCAAATTCCGAGTTCACTAGCCACGAATTCAATAAATGGTACGAGGCTATGAAGTCTAATGTAAGTTCTGCTCTTTATTTTAACATTGTAATCAGTGTTGCTTGTTTAATGGTCAGTAAAAAATGGCTTTCGGCTGTTACGTTGAAAAAATATATTTGAGAATTCAAACCGAAATTTGGTTATTGACTACACTCCACAGTTACTGTATACATTTTTAAGTACTCCCATTTCATCACAAACTTCCCTGGTTAATTTGAAAATACTTTTAAAACACACCTGAATGTTGAAATTTTATTTTTTTACTTTCTGATCACCTTGAGTTTCTTCCATCACCACCAAATAAACAATAATGAATTTGAAAAATTATAATCTGAATTTACGTTTCGGCAGGTTTGATATGCACTTGAGAATATTAGAAAATTTTTTCTGTTCAAGCGATGTCTAGTCTACTCGTGACTGTACACCATAGATGCTTAGCAGTAACTGATTAATGGAATTTTCACGTGCATATTGCAGAATCTCGCAATTCTCACACTAGATCAAGTAGAAAAGAAGGAGGCTGATATTCAGAAAGCCGTCAATTATAATTATACGGACAAAGATATTGAATTGGTTAATTTTTTGCATATAACAGATAAAGTGCTATTAAGAAATAATCAAATTTGGATATACTGCCAGTGTCATTTAAATTCTGCCTGTGAATCTCGTAGAAAACAGATTCCCATTTAATACATGTAACATCTGTTTGTTATAAATTCCTTATTTTTCAAATCTGACTTTCCACACAAAATGAAGTAATTTTTGAAATTTGATAAAGTCAGACTAAAAATTTATTAAATTGCAGATGGTGCAAGAGAAAATGAGGTTTCAAAAAGCTCCTCTCAATTATGCTTTAGAGAAAGGAAATCTTATCAAACTTAAGGTTAGTTTTTTTTAATTAAAAAATTTCTTATTGGATATAGGTTTAATGCACAGTTTATTACTCAAATAGGCTTATTACACAAAAATCGAAATTTTCTATTCTACCACTATCAAGATTTTCACTTTAATTGTTGTGAGTTAACTGAATTTGGTTCAAAAAGAAAAGTTTTCGCTCATTTCCAAATAGTAAATTTCAGTCGGGCATTAAACAGATAATACTAGAGTCATTTAAAACATGATATTGAAGATGGGTATGTTAAAAAATTTAGGAATTTGTTCTTCAATGTTAATTATGCTATTTCCTACGGGATATCATGTGAAAATTTGACTTCTACTTTATTCATTTGCTTAATGTTTTACGAGTTTTAACGATAGTGCTGATATCGTCTACAGATTTGTCGTTAAAAGGGAAGTAAATAAGTGGGACGGGAAGGAATATGAAGTTAAATTTCTGAGCAAAATATGTGAAATGATGGGTAGAGTTTGAAGGACTTCAAAGTTTTATATATATATATATATATATATAACATAAACTGTGAGATTTCTTTATCTTCATTTACATCAATCTCTGAATGAAATCTGTTCATTCGATCTTCACTTCTTGCTCCTTTTTTAAGACCTATTTACTCTTCGCTGTGTCAGCACTTTAAAAATTTGTCCGTCTCTTCATGTCTTCCTCATGTGGACCGTTAATTGAGTGTATCTTCGCAGAATTTTTTTGAGAACTTAATTTTGAACTATATTGTTTCGATTAAAAATGAAAAAAAATCTTTTTTTTTTAAACGAATGATTTAATACATCTCAAGAGAAAAATACTATTGGTAGAAGCGGCAAAATCACAGCAGAGAGTTTCAGAATCACTTATTTATGAATGCAGTTACTGACTGATTTAACTTCTATTTGATTCAGATACTTAAGTCTCAGCTTTAAAAAATTCCCTTAATGTTTTTAAGGTCATGGACTTTGAATTATAGGGCAGTTTGCTGGCCCGAGAGAGGGATTGAAACTTGAGAATCTAATTTAGGTGCATAATACTAATTGGGGAGCTATCGACTGGAAATATTTAAGGCCTTTATGCCAGAATAATTGCTAGTAATAACGGTACTAATCAAGAAATAACAAGCAATGCTTATCATTGATGATTTAGTTCATGCCATTTCAACTCCCTGACTCCTTTGTAGTGTCTCATTTGTCTCGAAGTATCGACCTGGTTCGGTTGTCGGCCTAGCTGTTTGCACGATTCGGGATGTGGGTTCATTTTCGCCTCTCCATGCTTTCAATTTAGCAAATGTTTCGATACCGAAGAGTATTGTCAACGCCACACATATGATCTACAATAGTTTTCGAATCATTCTTAAATACATCAAGCAAAGTAACAACAGTTATTACTAAGCCGCTCAAACTATCGTTACCTCGTACTTTTTACTTATTTTAAATCTTAGCAAATCCTATAATTATTGAAGCTAAAAAACGTATCTGAAAGGATAATTGGATCTTTTTAGTCTGAGATTCTCTTAATGTATTTTAAAAATAAACTTACTGCATCAATGATAGCAGAACCACGTCCATAAGTTAGCCAACTTGCCGAAAGATGTACCATAAGCCATACTGCTATGAAGAAGAGTAGGGTTGAGGTACCATAGAATATAAGCTCCTGAAAATTTGAAAAAGTCAATGTAGTTTTTGTATGCAATTTGTAACCAATCATCTTTAAAATGCCGAATGCATCAGAAATTTTAGTCTGATTTTTTATATTTAAAACATGCCATAAATTGATAAAATATTTTCAAATGTAGTCCTGAATGTTTAAATTATTAATTAAGGGATATTAGGTTTCGATAAGATTTATAAGAGCCAACTAGGTGTCCCTGAAGGACCTTTTAAAGCTGTATGTCAAATTAGTCTTGAGAATTGTGCTTTTTGTTCCACGACTTATGCAATAATTTTCATACTAATCAGTAACTTATATAAGATCTGAAAAAATAACACATTCATTCGCTGTGTTCAAAAGACCATAGTTCAAAACCCGAAAAATAGTACCGTGACGATGAGTCCTTCTCTGGTAAGTTCATCCTTAATCGTCAAATGTGGAAAGCAAACGTAGCCGATTAGCAGTCCGGAAATGATGATTGTAACTGCGAATGAGATATTCTCAGTCCAAGCTGCAGTTGTGGCATTACGGTCTGCACATATTGCCAAGATGAATGATATAAACGATAAAGCCTATAATTTTATTGATACACGCTGGAACTGGGACATCTTAACACTCTATATCATTACGTAATAAAAGCGCTTTTGTACAATAAGTCTTTAGCAAAGATAAAATTAGATTTACTGAAATAAAGCGAAGATGGAATTCAAGCGTGGATTTCATAGATGATACAACATAGATGATACCAGAATATGAAACACTTAAAATGAATTTCATAGAGTTGGAAAATTTAAAGCATCAGAAAAATTACGCATAAATTTCTCCCTAGGACTTTCCAGCTCTTTTTGAGCATCTTTGTTGCTGTCTTCAAATGTATAACCCGTTCCTGCTAACGAAGAGAATAATACTTACAATTTCGGCAATTTTCAAGACGCCCGGAATAGTAGCAAGGAATGCTGTATTGAGCTGTCCTTGACGATTATCCGGAATTATTTGTATTTTACTAGACATATCGAATTTCAAACGTCGTTTTTGCTGTTTTGGGCTGTAATTTTGAAATGATCATTCACCGTACTATCTTTTTAAGGAATGGTGCAGAGAGGAGAAGAATGATTAGAAAAATCAAGAAAATGCATACTACTAATAACATTTTATCTGTTTTCTTTCTATAGTGCGCAACTTTAAAAATTTGGGAGTTTATACTATCAGCAAATAAATAATGAAGTATGCCTGGCGGTATTGAATACTTTTCTGCTCTTTTTTTTAACTTTAAAAATCTTCTTTAAAAGAAAATCTTATCATAGTACCGAGATAATCCGATAGTGGGCAAGAACTACTGCTAAGTTGTCCAAAGAGTCAGAATGAAGCTGTCTGTTAACTACTTGCTTTTTGTAAAACTTGAAAACAGTAAAACCTGGATGGTGCAGGTGTTGAGTATGAAGGTGATTGTGGTCCACCGCGGTCTTGATTGCCAACATTTGCTGCATTTCTCGTAGTTATCGCCTCCATGGTTGTTCCTAGATTTTGTTCTTCTTGTTGCTGATGTTCCACATCTTCTGCTTTCAACATCCTTAAATGTTTATCACTCAAAGATTTTTTTAATGCCAAGAATACCATATTTTACGACTTTGTTTGTTATGATACTATTTAGAGTGACGGGGTGTTGCAGACAAGTGGATGTGTATAAGAGTGCAATTTGGTAAGGTTAGGTTTATGAAAATTCCAGTAATGTAAAAAGCTTTGAAGAACTATCAATTCAAATTTTCGTAGTTTCTTCTAGGTTTTCCCATTTTCTGTTCATTATGTTGGTTGAACAAAGAAGCAAAATTTTGATGAAGCATAAGAATATAATTATTTTTGATTAGTGCTTTGGGCTGTGACTTATAGCAACTGGGAAGAACCTCACAGGCAAGAATGTTGTCTATACTCTTAAACGACGTTCTGTTATACTAAAATAAACTCTTTTAGATCTGTTTTTTTTCCTCGCTAAGTACTGTTGTTGTTTCTGTATTACAAATATTGTTTCATTACTTTCTGTTTCTTCAAAAACCAGTTCAAATGAATTTGGCTTTTATTCTTGAGATCAAATTGCAACCAGGTATTGGGATGAACATTCATTAAGCAACAAAGTTGTGGATTTAGTAACAGTGCAATTTTCATTAAGTTTATATTATTAAAAAAAATTCATTGAAATTTTGGAAAACTTTGGCCTCTATTTTAAATTAATTTATGGAATTGAATGAATAGAAGGAGAATTTGAATTCCATTCAATTTTTATTCCCCAAAACTTATTAACCTTATAATAGATTAAAAATTTAGCATACACCAAGCCGAAATATGAGAGTTTCGGAGAGGGCATTGAACCAAATTTCAAAATTTTGAGCGAAAATGAAATGAAAAGATGAGAGTTCCATAATATAAGAGAAATTACATGGCCGATTATAGAAAAATAAATGCGAGTTTATCGAACGAATGCGATAAATTATACAACATAACCGTTTTAACTTAAACATTTCAAATGATATTTTCATTGCGGAGATGCTACTGCGATCTTTCAGTTTGAATTTATGTTACAAGAAGTAATTTATCTAGATAAGATATGTCCCTAGAATTTTTCAGCAATTAGATCTAAACATTCTTATTCATTCATATTGATTTATGTTGGTACCGTTGAGATGCTTAAAAACTATGTACTATAAAATATGTGATAGAGTTGGAATGTTAGAGGTAAGTTCTGAAATGAGGGAGGGTGTAGTAATTTAGAAGAGTAATAAGGATAAATTCATGTACGGAGTTCTGTAATGGAACCAAACCAAACGTTGCGATATAAACAAACTGCGAAATTTTGGACAGCAGTCGATCATATTGCAGAGGGGCGGTTTGACAATAGAATGAGCGATTTTTGACGAGAAGTGAAAATATATAGAAATTCTTCATTTCCCCATGATACGCTAACGATGGTATTGCATTAAACAAGGGGTGTTGGAGAAGCAAAGACGGGATAGGCCATGAGGTAGAAGAAGCGATGGGCGGACAGGCGGGCGAGCAGGCGGGGTATATGGTGAAAGAGAAGGTGGAGTATAACACGGGTTTCTTTCTAACTTTAAATACACATTTAAGAAATACTGTGGGAAAAAAATAAATAACTATTAAAGGAAATTATGGTGATATTGGGTAATAAATCTATTCAAAATAAGGGAATAGAAGAGGAAGAATTGGAATTTCGGCTCGATATTTTTTGATGCATAATAAGAGATTTGAACTAATAAGAAGATCCTGTACATATATTCAAGAACCGGTTTCTACCTGTCAGCAAAAAAAAATGCTCATTTATACTTGCAGTGTTTTTTTTTAATCTTCCGTCGTTCTAATCAACTACCAGTTAGTGATTCCTCTAAGAATTTCTTCTAGTATGATGAGCAAGTGTCATGTATTTTCGATGTTCAACCTTTGTTTTACTTTTTTATCAAGGACAAAGAGTTTTCTTTTTGAAAAAAACATTCCTTCATAAATCTCGAGAAGCGAAAGCAAGTGTGTTTCATAACTGAACTATGAGAATATGACTGATTTCACAGTATCTTCACAAATTCATTTTATTAGAAGAAAGAGAATGGACATTATAAGAGTTTTCTATCGAAAAAGTTGAAGCACCTAGGAAAACATTAAGGTGGATGTGATCTCAAGAATCACTTGTAATGTAAGAGTGTAAAAAGACAATTGAAAAAAAGGGAAAGCAGCACTTAATACTCCATTTCGTTTAGCTTCGATGTCAAACGGAAAAGTTTAAGCTGAACGGTATAATTACCATGAAGCTCCATTGATAATATTCGTGAAAAAGTTCGTGATAGTCATCCAATCCTATGTTTTTTCCATAATTACCATTCGACAAATCATTTTTTTAGTCCATCACTGATTTGACTATCAGTGGATAAAAGGTCTAAATGGAAAGTTCTAGCATGGTTTAAGAAAAAATAGAGTCGGCAACGGCAAAATTTTTAGAAAGTTAACAGCAGAAAAGAGCTCACTGATGGCGATAATTCTAATATGGAATTGATTGTAGATGGGTGATTTCTGTTTAAATTAGTTGGTTAACAAATATAGGAATAAGTTAAGAATTCACAAATACTGTTTTAATACGCTTAATATGGCAGTAAAGAGGAAAGGGAGGAGTGCAGATTATATGTAAATAAATGCAAGGAAGATAAGTTTCATACTTTGCTTTTCATTTGGCTTATCTTAAAAGTGTTGTTTTGTTTATTGCTTTACTTTTCACTACGTTCATGCTATAATTCCTAACATTGATAGCGATATCAGTCGTGCTTTTACTTCGAGTTATTTGAAAATTTGGAAGATCGTATCATTGAAGTGATCAATTTTAAAATGTAACAAAAGCATCTGTTTTTTCTTTCATCAGAGAAAAGATTTGCAATACAGAAATTGTCGTCCACAGACAAGTTAGTTCCTAATTAAATGATGATAGTGAGTTGTTAAAATGCTTAAATAATGCTATGATCTATGTTTGAAATATTCTTTTATACAAAATACTGAATGGTTTGACAGAAGCTTGTATTCCAATAAGTTTGATAATATACATACCGTATTTTGACAACCTAACTTCAATAATATGAATCACGAGGTGGAAGTGAAATAACATTGATAAAGACATAAGTAAAGATGTAAACAAAGAAGTAAGTAAATACTTAAATCCAACAAACATTTGATCAAGTTACTAATATTATTTAACCACATCAACTTGCAAAATGCATTTTATGTGTTGTAGATTAGTCGGGTAGAAGTTGCCACCCGATTAGTCCCTTTTCACTCCATTTCCGTCCATTATACTCGCATATTCTCTTCTCCTTTTGTGTTATTTATGATCCGTCTCAGTTACCAGTTTCTACCATTACTGCTATGCAACTACTACTGGTAGTAGAATACATTTGTAATGAAAGTTTTGCAGTAGCTCGTCGTTACATTTAGAAATTGTGATCATGAATTCAATATCAGAGAGTGCTTCTAAGTAAAAGAGGGACCGGATGGGAAAATAGCATTATTACAAGAGACGAATGACCTTCATTCTATTTCGGATTCAACAGCAACAGATTAGGTCAAATTGAATTTAAAAAACTGCAAAATAATTTTACGACTGTGCAGAAATTCTGGAGAATATTTTGATAGGATGATTTCGCAGTTGGAGAAAGATGGGAGGAAAAAATTGTAAAGTTTGCAAGAGATGCAGGCGAGATGTTGACACTAATCAAGTTTTGCTAATAACTCTTTGTCTTATTTTGTTCTTACATTAGTAAATGGTCCTATCAATGAAATTAGTAAGTGCGATATAGAAAATTAATGCAAAAAAGGTTTTGATTAAATTAGTTCTGTTTGCCTTTTACTTCACTACCACTTTTAGTTATAGAAAGTTTAAACAGAATGATTTAAAAGTTTATATTATGAAGAAATTCCAAAGATGCAGTCATACTATAAAAACAAGACATACCTCATAATTTTTCAGAGATCCACTGAATCCTAGTTGCCATGATTTTATTGGCAAAACTATTAGTTTTTGGCCGGAGTTTGGAAGTAATTAGACTAGCTCAAATTCGCAGAATAAAACATTGGCTCGAAAATAAGATGAAGGTTACTAACTTATTTAAATTTCATTTGATTACTAAGGATTTGACAAGCAACTATAGACAGTACAAATCAAGCAATATTTCCGCATTAACTTTCATCTCATCCTGTCTCTATGGTCTTTGACTTGTAGCATACAAGATATATAGTTTTGGGCAGTTTGAAAATAATTCCTTGTACATGAAAACTGGAGGTTCAATAAATGTATATAAGAGGGAAGCTGTTTCTTTATTTTGTAGAAACTAGACTTGCATCATCATCTGCTAGTGAGACGACTTGTCATGATTGTCTTAAAATGGACCACGATACCACTCGTTAAATATTTCTTTTGTTCATTCAATTGTTGGTTCGTTGATAGTGCTATTACAAACAAACAACGAAAATGCATAAAGATGAATTAATTTGTGAAGGATTTAGGATATCCTTGTTGATCCAGATGTGACGGAAATGACAGTAGTGAAAAAAATTTGCAGTAGTAAAACTATAATGGTGTGTCAATAGTAAGACTATAAAAGGTACAATAGAGACGTGATAAGTAACCTAAATATGTCATTCAGAACATGGAGGTAAAGATATATGGCGATAAAATGGGATGATAAATAGATGTTTATCAAATGAATTATTTTTATAGGTTTGGTCTTTTTATGTGGAAATTCTGAAGATATATTCCAAATTATTTTATTGTTTGAACTTCAACTTTCTGACTTATTTGCTATGAATTATGATCGGGTGAAAGGTTTTAATGAAAAGCGAGGTATTTAGAACTGCTAACAGTTCAAAATATTCCAAATATAATTTTAGCTGGAAATTGATTGAATCTTAAGTATCTTCGAAGAAGTCCATTCACAGTTTTATCAGATTTGCGGTTGTGTCAGCACTAGAATAAAAGGAAAAAATATTTTGCACTTTGTGAACTGTTTCGATGAGAGAGCCGTGTGATAATGGTTCTTTCTGAGACTGATTTAATTTGTTCATTTAATATAGTTGAGGAATTTTTCACATAGGTATTAGTTTCATGATCTTTACGATAATGTGAAGTGGTGATAACAATGAGATAACAAAGGTTAGCGGGGTGGCAAACGAACCGAGTCGATTTCCTTATAAACTGTATGAATTAACCTTGAAATAGAGAATTATTTGCAAAACGTGTATATGTACTTTCAACATACCGATCAAATTACCTCCTCATTTCCAAGCCATTCTTTTTCATTGTAATGATGACGACTAACTAAAATGATCTAAAGGAATGTAATCTCTAACGGGACAAAGTACATTATCGGTTGCACGTTAGCGTCCTCGGTTTGAATTACGTTTTTGTTCGATGTCCATCTGAACGGAAGAGAGGAAATTAGTACGTTACCTATGCTGTCGTCATGCAGTGGTATATTGCCCAATTATCTTAAGCATAACCGATTTCCTTGTTCTTGATTTCCACCAGTTGCACGCTGATAATATAAAGCATTTGTTGCAATATATTCCTAAAGAGTTTGTCGATATGATGAAGATACAGACAATGTAAAATAGAATAATCATAAAAATAGGACTTCAGGAAACTGCTCATGTACTTGTCGTTACAGTATGAGTGAATGAAATAAAATGATAAATATAGAGGAGCTATGAGTTGTTCTCATTCTCACAACACGGCCAATTTATATGTCCAAATGGTCAACGGTCTCCATACCTCACTCATTTATATCTCCAAAGCTACGATGCGTATAAGTCGTTCCGTAGTCTTTTCTATTCTACTGGTTGATGATCTGAAATTGCCGAAAATAATTGGCGAATGAACTCATTTCCTACTTTCTGCCTGAGGATAATGCAAGATATATTTCACTACATGAAGAATAGAAACAAACATGATTTTTATTATACCAATATTAGTGAATAATTTTTGGATAAAAATACTGGTTGGGAGATCGAATAGCTAAACATTCTGCACTGAAAAAGGAGAACAAGGATTATTAACGGTAGATATCAATAATAATTATTGAAAAGTTCTGTTTTCGAGCAGCAAATATTACTATTCAATATATTTGAAGTCATATTGATAATCCTCTTATAGATCTTTCCAATCTTATTATCAATTTATTAGTGTTTGTGTCAATACTGTTAAAATATGATTAAGCTATGTTTGTTAATCGATGTCGGTGATGATTTGTCAGGAAATTTGCCTCAAATCTAATATTAATAATAATATGAAGCATAAGCATTAATTTAGCATCAAAAAGCAAAATCAATAATTTAAGATCAACTCAGCCTTTCTGTGTTTTTCTAAATTCCACTTTTTTATTAAATGATAGTGATACATGAAGGCTGTAAGCAATTTGACCTTTCATTTATTTTTCATAAAAAAGTGATAGAAGGGCGGCCGAAAGGATGCACACATTTGCCCCCTTTTCTTAAATCATTCACTCTTTTAAATTGAAAAAATTGGCAGCAGTTTTTCAATTTTGAAACGATAAAAAACATTTTACAAATAACTAAAATTTCGAAGAATACAATAGTATATGAGTGATCTCGGAAGAATGTTATGAAATAGAAAAGGGAGAGAGCAAAGTAGATGAATAATATTTTCGATAATAGATAGGGAAAACTTCGCCGTTTTGATTGATACAGTAGTGATTTTACATTTATGATTTACATTACTTTTGATTATATTTATTCGACTTTCGAATAAATTATATTAATAACATTGCCTTATTCATCGCTGCAAATAATTTGATTTTTACTATTATCTATCTTTATACGTAACAAATTTGAAGTTGTTTAGGATTGTGTTCCAATTTGCGCTAACTTTCAAAAAGTAATGAAGCTTAAGGTCGTCAGTTGTTGGACATGAAACAATAGATTCGGAAGGTTAAATAGAATCAAATATATGGAAATAATGCTTTTTCATTTTGGTGACGTTAGAACTTCAGATAATTAGGAGAGAGGAAATTTTCAATTTCGTATATACTTTGCTATTTTATGGTTGATCGAGTTAAGCTGTTACGGAAATGTTTTTCGACCACTTTGAGCTGTCTGTGAAATTTGTTATGATCAATAATCGTGAGCATTATTAGGCAGCTGATTACTGATCATTTGATGGTCGAATTCTTTATTATCAAATGATGGTTAAATTGATTTTCACTCGATAAATAACATATGATATTGAGGTATTGAAACATTTTAGAGAGTAACATGCCATTGCTGTGATGTGTATACCGGTTTTTTCATGTCATCTGCAGATGTACGCTGTCAACTTATGATTTATGGACGTTTAATTTCTTTGGATCCTAAATACACAAAATTTGAATATAAAATTTATATAATTCAGAGGCTATGCATGAACTGATTTTAACTTTACATTCATGTGTTCCATTGCTTGAAAGAGATTTGTCCTTGTGCTTATAATGAGTGATCAATCAATTCATTTTTATTTACTGCTTTGAACAGTCTGTCTATTATCGATGATCATTTTTGTAAATGAATGAAAGATGCATGAATAATTTATTTCATCTCCCAAAGAAAGATTATATTACAAGAGAGAAAGGAAGATTATCTCGTATTTGCAAGGTTTCTGGGGAGTAACATCTTTTTAATATCCTAAAGAATCAACACCACGATTCCATTTGCAGGCTTATGACGGGATCAAAATTTATATTTGCGCATTAGAAATTTTCGTTGAAATAAATTCTTAAACAATGAATGATCAACTAATAGTGTTTCTTAAAATGCGAATAATCGGTATTGTACGAAAGAAAAGAGTTGAATTACTCTTCCGGTTACCGCTGTAGTTTAGTTTAGAGATGTGAATATGTCAAAGGAACTGACTAATTTACACTTCTTTTTTGTTGTAAATGCATATAATTGCGGGAACAATTGTGATTATTCGTTTCCGAAATAAATGCACAGACAACTATTGATTGCTTTCGCTGAAATTCAACCACGGATAATTCTGTTTTTGGAATTAATTTCAGCTGCCTTAGGAACCATGAAAGTTTAGAGGTTTAGTGTTCTGAGAAGAAGAGAAGAGAAGAAAGAAAAAATAAATGGAATGAAGTATTTTGAATTTAAAATGTGATATCAGTCGAACAAAATTATCTTGCTAAAAGTAAATGTAATTAGCTTTTTCAACTTCTTTAATCTTCTGGCCTTTTCATTTTTTTTTTTTGCATTTGCTGTAATTATATTGTTGAAAGGTCCTTGTGTTTCGAAGATTTCTTCTACAAATTATAGCTATATGGAGTTTTTCTTTCAAGAATTAGGAAAAGATATGCGTAAGAATGGAAAAGAAGAAGATGGAATATAAAAATTGATTTCTTTTACCTGCTTTGCTTTTATTTCGGAAGCATTATTGATTTTATTTGTTGACATGTTTGGTATGCAAGTTAGAATTGGCAGTATGAAATCATTGAGGCATAATTTAATATTGTTGATTTTAACTACATAACAAATTCACCTGCGGCATGGTTTCAATCAGGCGGAGTGAAAGGGAAGTGTTGTGTCAAAATTAGAACAAAAAATATTAAAAAAATTCTGTATGCACCATTCTACTTTCTAATCCAATAATCTAAAATAAATATAAATTTAAAATGTATGTGTGAGTGAAAATTCGGTAAGGTGAGAAGTCTAATTAAATATATTTCCACTATCGGCAAAAACTATTCTTCATTCAGTTCATTCAGTATACTTAAGATGTAAATCTCATAGTTTCCAGGATTTTGGAATCCTCCCGAAGTTAACTTGACCACATATGACAAGTAAGCATATGTAAAGGTATCCATTGGACATTAAGTTTTAGAAAGCTTTCATTTGATTCGTGAATTCATTCTTTTCTCAAATCCGGCCTAATTTGACAGTTTTATTCTCCTTGATCTTGAAAAATTTTCTGGATTGATGAGAGATTATTCATTATGAATAACATTTGCAGCGATTTATACAGAAAACATGCTGTCTTCTAGCTGTCTTTTATCTTGATATTGGCTAACCTTGTGCTGGAAATATTTCAGATTCTAAAAAAAAATAAAATAATGATAAAACTAATAGTATACAATTAGTGACGATTCGTGAGGGTTTTCTGGAATTGGTGAGCTGTCACGTTTGATTTTGCATTTCTCCTGTATCCAACTAAAAAACCGAAAAAATTTTTTTTTCTTGTTGTAGCAAGAAGCCGAACAGTATGGAAACGTTGAAGAAGTACAATTATTACAGCAACAAATTGATGATTTGGAAGCAAGGGCCACTGAATTGGTATACTCTTGAAAATTTTTTCTATTTATTTTGGTGCAGTACTAAATAATGTAGTCAAACAGAAAAGTTTTTTTTATAAGTTCATACATTCGATTGTCTTGTGTGGAATGTTGAAGTCACTATTAATCGAAATTATTAAACAAACAAGTGTCACAGAAAATTATTTCTTTTTTAAAACGATCGTATTACAGGAACGACGTCGTTCACAAAGTATTCGTGGTATTAGTTGGATAAATCAACGTAACAGACAGGCTATCAAAGATGCTATTCTCAGTGGTCAAATACATGTTGAAACTTCCAGTCAAGATGATCCGTTCACTCGGAAGAACGCTCGAATGAAGGTTTCCTTTATTCTACTTTTGATATGACATTCGACACTTCTCAAAAGCATTACTATTTTATACAAACTGATTCGTTACGATAGCTGTAGTCACGCTTGATGTTCGGAACTATAAAAGGAATGTTGAATTTGCGGTTGCTACTCAACAATTTCCAGAACATCATTAATACAGAATATCATTAATAACATCATATTAATTTTACTAATCGCTCGTTTACATTGTTGACAGAGCATCTATTTCAACTTCTGAATAATTTTAAATTTGAGCCTGTCCCTGGAAGAGATAAGATGACTCAACAATTAAATAAGACAGGTGCAAATACCAGCAATAATTATGGGCGTAAGTTTTTTTTGTGCTTTTTACATTCTTTTTCATTGTAAGACTTTCATCTCTCGTCTTGAAAGATTTATTCTTCTAGAGAATCTTTGTGTTCTTTGATTTTATTATTTTGCCATATAAGAAAGGATTTAACTTAAGGATGATAGATGATAGAAATTGACGAAGATTTAAGAAATTATTTATTAGAAATATATTGAATGTAAACAATTGCAGGGATATATTTGATACTATTATTGAATTTGATTCAAAAGAACATTTAGACTGTTTATGGTATATCGTTTAGCCGACATGCTCTAACTGACGAAGAAATCTCTTCTCTTGCTTGTTGTCTTTAGAAACTTTTCTGTGCTTCGGTTCAAATTTGTCATTCTCGTACCAATATGTACATGTTGAATTTCATGAAACAAAAACAAGAAATAGTTCTCCTTAACAAAACTCTTTTATAAAACATCTTTTCATTTTTTTTTTAATATTTCTGTGTTATTTAAAGATTCTGCGGCAAGCTCGAAGTCAATAATTATTGAGCTAAATGATCAAAAGCCATCACCTCAGAAAGGAAATATCGGTGTAGGCGGAATACGAGGCCCAAGTGGACCTGTTTCGGATCTTTTCAATGCTCATAATTTCGATGTTGATATTGACATTGCTATACCAGGTAAACATATTACTTTCAATGACTACTTGTTCAAACAAAGAATTAAAGCATCGAAGTTTTATTACACGGTCCACTCTTTCAATATTAAATAACAGTGTGCTAAAAAGAACTAAAAAATCAATCTTTGATTGCATCTAGTGAGATTTTTCAAACTTCTCCATAATCAAGAGATAAGTATAATGACAGATTTGTTTGTCTTTTTTCATTTCTTTTTATGAGCTTTCATTTGGTTTTCAGCGGTAATGACACTGTCTTCCAATGATCCGTCACTCAGTTCAATGGATGTTAATTCAAGGCACCCTGGTCTTGGGAATAATCGATCAACAATAAGCAGAGGATCGTCTAGACCATTAAGTCTCGAAGATTACAAACGTCGTAAGAATCTTTTGTGAAGGCTTAGGATAAATATATCTTTTTCTTCTAATTTGAATTACTTCGGGCATCAATTCAAATTCACTTATGGTGGAGTAAAGCTAAAATGATAAAACCTTTCTACAGTAAGTGTCATCTCACTCACTTGATTGAAAACACATATCGTTTTAAAACAATTTAAGAAATATAAACGAAATAGATGGAATCCGTAGCTCTGTTCAGGAAATCCTTTTTTACTATTTTTCTTCTACTTTGACAGTTCTTGAATTGATTCATAATTATTTTACTTTATTAGAAATCTCCACTTTAAGTATTTTGTAGCCGAATTACTTATGTTGGTATTATCTGTTCCATCTGAAAGTGTCAACATTTGCATGGAAGTATGTCATAATGTTTTATCTGAAAGATAGTATTGTTGATAAAACAGATCCGTCTCAAGAGTTGTATATCGGAACTATAATAAGCTTGAAATGCTTGATGTCTTAATTCCGTTGAGTCTTGCTTAATATTGGAAAGTCAATTGAAGCATAAACAAGATTGCTTCGAGGAATGTACTCATGGAAAATTACAACCTAAAAAGCATGCGGGGATTGATGTCTCAAGACAGTAATTTCTTTTTTCACTCTTGATTAAATTTCTGTTCTTTTCTGTTTTTCAGATTAACCTAGTTTTATCTTTGCTTTTACTTCAAAAGGGGAAGAAGTAGTTTCTGTCAAAAGTGGTATTACTTGGACTTAGTTCTTGCTTTGATAATAATCTAGGAGAATTTCTTCCATTTAATTTAGGTGAAATGGAATTTCCATCTATTCGATAGTATTACTTGAATGCTTGCTTTATACAAATTTTGGATCTGTGTTTTTTGTTGCATTTGTTTATGTGTATATACTTTTACTTGTTGAATTTAGCAAATTTAACATTACTGCTATTATATTTTGCACTGATGTTGATAGTAGCGATGGCAATGTTGTAAAACGCCGATTATTTTGTTAGTAACAATGATAAGGATTTTGCTGTGCAAGTTTTATTTTCAATATGGAATACTTATCAGCAGTGGTGGGATGTCCTTTTCTTCTTTCATTTTCTTTGCTAGATTTTCTAGCTCATTTCTCACCCATTCATCTGTTTTAGAGTTGAAATGAATCAGTTCTCTTATTTCTTGTTAAAAATTAACAATCGTGTTGACATAGTGATTTATACCGCATAGCTATTAGAAATTTGCATAAATATGAATGAATCGTGACGTTCTTCCTTCCATATATATTTGCTTTTTCTTCCTTCCATTATGTGAGTGTATGGGGACACATGTATAATGACGTGGGTAACGTTTGAATCAGAATAAAAAAGCAAAAGACGAAGGCTGCGTAACTACGATTTACATTAATTTAGAACAGCATTTCTCGTAATGGTAGAGTAAAATACGTATAAGACCCTTCTTGATGAAGTTGAAGTGGGACATTTCCCGTCGATTTCAGATTTTCGCGTCAGGTATGCAGGTGCTGTGCGTCTCCAGGAACCCGTTAGTAGCGTTCGGTGTTGCATCAGCTATTTTTACGGGCCGCAGGGCCACGGTTACCGCGACTTTCAGATTTGAATGTTGGTACTAAGAAGGTTCGGATTCATCCGTTGCGAATTGGTGTGATGCAGTGGCGGGGGTATGTTGTGGGACAGTTGAGGTTTCAGTGATACTTGCGATGGCTCGTAATTTTTTTTAGTATTCGTGATACGGTTGAGGTTTTGGGGATACTCATGGCACACTGAGATCTTGAGATCTGCGGCGCGTCCTGATTTTTCTGTGGTATTTGTGGTGTGCTTGAGGTTTCTGTGGTACTGGTGACCTGAGGTTTCTGGAAGTAAATTCTAAAGCGTTTGGTTATTGTTCCATACAGATTTTTTTATGCAGTATGATGCTTGCATTCGTTTTGATACCAAAAAGCATCGGATAGTACGAGAATAGAGTGGACGGAAGGTATAAATACATGTAGCACAAGTGGGGTGAATTTTTTTTGGGTTGTGCAATCCTACGTTATGAAGGTGTTACCGGTTTATATTTCAGAATTGGTCTTAAGAATATCGTGCTTCGGAATATAATATCATTTCATGGCAGATAGTTCCTGGTATCGAGTTGAGCGTATTCTTTCCGAGAAATACGAAAGAAAAGGCGCACGGTTAGAAAAGTTCTACGAAATTTTATGGGCGTAAGATTTTTTAAAACTTACAGATAAAACTGAATTGAATATGTCTTCAGAATATTTTCACGATTAAGGAAGTGAATTGTTATATTTCTCGTTCATTTTGTGAAGCGAACAGCATTTTCGACTGACTATCAAAGTCATCAGTTTAACTATTTGACACTATTTGAAAGGTTTCTAAATGTTTTATTTTACATAATAGCTCTGTAACTCGGAATAGGTGCAATACCTCGAAAAATGTGAACAAAGAATTGATTAATTCGTTCCCCATTTTCTGTTCCTATTTTTCTGAATGCACAATTAACAGTGTATGTAAATTATAGATAGTTATAATATACATACCAGTTCTTGATAGCAATTATCTGTAGGCCTACGTGGGAACCGGCAAAACGAATCAATGCACAAGTTCCTTTAATTGTGGAAGCATATGAAAAACAAAAGCAAAAAGGTCTTGCAAATGTCAAGTCAAATGAAACAAGTACTGAATCTCTTGAAGCGACTGTTAAACATGGTACACAAGGCTCTAAACGAGCTCATAATTCGGTTATTCTTCTTATAGTTTGTCTAACAAAGAGATACAAAAACGATCATTATTACTACATAATTTCATGGAATTTCTGACCCGCGGTTTTTGGTTTTTCTTGGTTCCATTATATCAATCGTGGAGTAATGCATCCTTTTATATCTTCGTTATCGTTAAAAATGATTTCAAATGTAAATGGAGGTTCTACTGTTTCCTCGATTAAAAACTTGATAGCAAATGAAGACTGCTTTGTTGCAGAAAAAGATCAAGGTTATCGGCGTAGTTAGTGATAACGGACGGAATGTTAAGAACTCGACGTTATTAGTTGAAAAGTAAGTATTCTTTTACCATATTAACGTTCACTGATGTGTTATTTACTGAAATAACAAGCTTATATTTACTAAAATACTTCTAAGTTCTTAAACTCGTAGGGTCTGATCTTCGATCATTCAGTGTAATATATAATTTTTATTGACTCAGCTTTATACTGAACTTAGTGACTTATTCACTACTTGAAAAAGACAATGCCAACTGTGAGATCAATTCCTTTAATTCAGTGCTAATTGACGTTAATAATTCTCCAATAAATATAGCAGTTTTTTTTAGCGAATATAGTGGTGAACAGTGGTGTATGCGGTATGAAGACATCAAAAGAGATTATTCAATTGAATTGATTGATTTCTTTGAGGAATGCGTCTCTGGTTTTACGTGATCTTACAATTACCAAGCTACCAAACCAAACTATTTTTTGAGCGAGAATGTTTCTTCTTTCAAGTTACTCAGTAATAACAAGGTGGAAGCAAGACTTTTGTGATTTTCGGTAAGTGACTGTATATTTCTTTGTATTATAAACATATGACGTGGAAGCTGGTTGAAGATCCATTTCGTTCTAACATTTCAACCTATTTGGGATGCGAGTTTTATATGTTTATATGTAACTGTTTATTGATTCATTTGCTATTGTACATAATGGTTGTTCTTTTTATAATTTTGTTCATATCATTCCAGAAAAAGTTCTCTTTCCTCTACCTTGTTTTCTTCACTACCTATCCTGCCTCTAAGTGATTATCCTCAAAAAATTTTTGAAATGGAAAGACTGTTGCGATCATATTTAAAAATTTTCTTTCAAAAGTATCATGTGTATGTAGAGGAATAATGTTCGCATAGTAAAGGGTAAAATTTCCTGTCAGTATTTGTGAAAGCAATTCTGATCCAAATTATTGAACGATCAATTGTGGATGGTGTTCATTGGACATATTCGAATTTCAAAATTGTGAAATAAAGACAGCAAAGCTGGCAATAACAGGAGATTGGTTCTGGAAATAGAGATAATTTTTGGAGTTCGTGCAAGTTGAATGTTAAGTAGGAGAATAAAGATTTTCATAGAGTTATACTGCTGCGCACATACTATCTACATTTACCCATGTAGAAGTGTTTATTGTACTTCATATAATTTCTTCTTTTTTTCTGTTTCAATTGTTAATTGTAATAACTTAGGATTCTCTCTGCTATTTGATATGATCTGTTTCAAAATCGTTACTTTATTCATTTCATTTCATTTCGCTTTGTGAAGAAATCGCTTCATAATAATACCCTGCCATCAATTACTGTGATCAAGAAGTTCAAAGAAAAATAAAGAATTTTGATAAAAAAAAAAAAAAAAAGAAAAATAAAGAATTAGTGATATTTTATGTTTAATTTTGGCATTACAGCAGTTCTATCCTCTATTTTTCACATCTGTTTTATTGTGAGACGCAAAAAATTAGATTGTTCGCGTTGTTTTAATAATTATGATTCATCTTACGCAGGTCAGATATTCGAAGAATTGCAGAATAGATTGGTTGCAATATTACTGAATAAGAGAAAAGACTTTATAAAACTCCATTTGGTGACTGCGTTCGTGTCATCCGTTCACGCTACTTCATAACTAACGTTTTCCCTGAAAGTACTTCAGAAGAGGAAGTGACTAGCGATAAGAATGACCAGAGAGCTTAGTAAATTTAATTCAATATGTGAAAAATTACACTCAATTCCAATCGTTAGAAATCATGTGAGGCTGTCTTGCAAATTAAATTCCATGTTTGAAATATTCATTTGTGACTTTGGAAATTTTTGATTTTTTCCATTCCACGAGAAAGTTGAGCCAAAGTTAGTGATATACGCACGTCTATAATGATACCGTTTGATTTCTGCTGATCAGGGACTATCCTGCAACCTTTTTAACCCACTGATCACTCCCGTAATAAAACATTTTTAGGGTTTCATGTTGAGAGAAGAATAACTTATACAGGCATTGATACACGTACGCGAATATACGTCTATGATAATAATAGCATAATAAATCAAACTTATTTAAATGCTATGACGAATAGCAACCTATATAATACAATAAATAATCAAATACAATAACGCTTAAAATAGAACATATCATCGTGTAAACAAGACCGATACTACATGATTCAATTTTCATTTTGGTCTAGTACTTTCGAATTTAAATGAGTTGTATTATTTATTCTATTTAGAAATAATAAAAGCGAGTTTAATAAACGAGAAGGCGCATCTTCGTTTTTTTTTCAGGAAGCTTTTTGTTCCTAATTCCGGTAAGACCCTTATTTACCCTTTATTGTGTCGATTCGACCCTTTATTGTGTCGATTCGAAAATCAAGTTTGATAACTCTCATCAGACTTATCCTACTGCACATATACATATATCCTTTTGTAATAACCAACAAAATAGTTTCGATAATAAGCACCATTCCTAGCGGATTGTTTACTTCAAACGTTTAATACTTCAATATTATTATTCCTAATTAATATAAATTTGTTACTTTCTATTGATTTAAAAAAATTGTTTTCTTTAAATTATACGAATTGAGAAATATTATATATGTAGAAGAACATAGATCGAATGTTTCAGCTATGATCATTTCATAATACATAAGTATTTAATGAATAATGATAGTATAGATCTCTTCGTAGAGTAGCAACAGTAGTAGTAAATAAATAGTATTAATTGTAGTAATAATAATAGTTAATTGGAAATTATATAGAGCACTTTTAAAGCTTTGATGATATAATGATGCCTTATTTTTTTATCAGCAAATGAATAAGCGCAATTGTCGTCTAATCATCGGGTTGAAGAATGTCGAGGAATGGATTCTTTCGTGGTAGTATTACTTTTATTTTTGTTGCTGGCATCGATGATACAGTCATATCGACTAAAAAACGATAATAATTTTCGCTCATTTTATTGCAATAAATTATTTCCTGAGAATTTTCCTTATTTTGATTTCTCTTTTATACAACAATCATTAGTAGAATCCTTAAACTATTATTATACATTCGATAAATTGAATTTAAATTTTATTTTAAAAATTTAATAGTTTTCCTCAAAAGAATTACGATAATCATTTACGATATTTGTAGAATAATAATAAGTGATAAGATAGCATCAATTAATTAATACATTCTAATTAGTTAACTTAGAAATGTTTAGAATTGAATTAAATCATAGCTGATAAAGTATAAATAATTCATTCTCCTATTTATTTTCTCATTGCTAACAATGAATTCAGATAAGGTAAGAAAGAAAACTTACCATAAATTGTACAATTTAGCCATTCATCTAATCTAATTTGCTTATTTCCATCACGATCACAAAAGCGCAAAAAATTTCGCCCACATTTTCGTACTTTATTCAACAAACGTAATTCATTCCGGTATGATTTCCATTCTTTCCGTTCCAATCGCTAAAACTTTTAATTTCTCTGTTCTGCTTTCAAATTCAGTCCTTAAAAGAGAGTGTAATAAGGCATTTAAAAGCAATAATTATCCTAAGATAAATATGATGAAGATTTTATTCTTCTATAACATAGGCTTTATCAGTAGAAAATTATTTTTTGTTATCTAAGAGTTTCTTTTTTTTTAATGAAAAGATAATATCAGTGGGTTGACAATAGAGACAAACCGAATTGTTGTTAACATCAAGTTGTTCGAATTTCCATCGAACAGCTTTATCCTTACTGGTGATAGCATCATCATTTGCTTCATCACCAAGAGCCAAAATCCATTCGCTAATTAATGATGAAAATAATCGCTGATAAAATTTCGCTTTTTTCCTACCCAGACAACCTGTAATTTAGATATTTTTATGGTACTTAAGATAATAATTCATGCATTTGCAATCAATTGTAGAATGACAAGTAAGTTAAATAAGCAAATAGATATGATTGTTCATCGTAATATATGATTTAAAGTGATTATTATTATCATCGGAAACTGATAAAATTTAAAGTTTTGAGAATTTATTCCACCTTTAATTTGTCGCTTAGTATCATCACCCCATTGAAGTTCTCCATCACAGTTTGGTTTAGCATTGTATTTGGATGTACCGGATTGTGGAATACCTGTTTCCGGATTTACACACCAACAAATATGTGACAAACGGTGACACTGAATTCGATCAAATAGTCTGCAGTGGAGCGAAAATTTAGTAAAGGATGAAAAACAGCAAAAAAATCAAGATGAACAGTTGAATTAGTATCGGGAATTACTTCAAAGTGGAAAATGTAACTTTTCATTGTTACGACAATTTAGAAGAAAAATCAATGAGAGGAATTTTTTTTTTTAATATCTTACATTTCAACAAACAGCTCAAACGAAACTTCTTAAGTCAGGAAAGCGGTTTTGCTCGACTTAGACCAATGTCACCATAAAGAGATCATACTTGAAGAGGAGACCTTCCTTTCAGTTATAAATGTGTCAACTTTCCTGTCGACAAATACATTAGTTATTTTAATTAACACTCTCATATCATTTAACATTGTTATCTGCAAAAACTTACATATCGCTATCACCAGCACAGGTTGGTATATAATTCCCATTTTCCGGATTATTTTCTAACTTTTTCATTGCTCGTTCTCGTTGTGTTCGACAATCTGCTTTACCTGTATTTGTTGAATTCCTACTTTGCAGACGGTAATTTCATATTAATATTTAATTGCAGAAAAAAATTGAATCCATAGTTGAATCTTCGAAAAATCATTAAATTTATTGGCACTAATATTTGGAGAGATAAACAAATAATAGTTATATTATTTGTAACATAAAGAAATTATCCTTTCTTTTATTTAATTGAAATTCAATAGTTCAAATTAAAACGACAAAGTGCGCCTTAATTTGAAGATCATGAAAATCTTTAGCCTTTAAACCGTAATGTTATGGAAATTTTTAGACTTTAAAAGTTTGAAATATTAAGTTTTAAATTTTTCTCATAAATTTATTTTTGAAAGCTCTTTAATTACATAATCACTTTGAATTAAAAACAATTTATTACATGAAGACGACAAATGCGCCTTACCAAAAGTATCTTCTTTTGCATCATTTCGTTCCTCCTCATCTTTCTCAAGTTTTAATTCGGTTTCATTCTTCCGTCTGCTATCAACAATTGGCATACCAACTATACTTCCAGCATGTATAATACCTAAAAAGTAATTTTAACATTTCTCATTTCATTACTATTTGAATTATTAGAATGTTTAAATGCTGATTATTAGCTACTACCAATTTTACTAATTATTTGGTGTCATGAAGCAAAAGAAAGAAAAGCTTGTTAAATTGTTTCATAGCACTAATTAAATGGCATTTTAATTAGTGTAAGATCAATCGATCTAAAATAGCATCCAATCTTATCAATAAGCCATTTTAAGCACATATGTTATTATTATTCAGCAAAAGCTACCATTTAACATTAAAGAAAAAGAAGGGAAAAAAAGATGTAAATATGAATTACTTGATCGATAGCTCAAGATAGCTTTAAAATTTGCATTTTAAGCAATATTCAGAGATCTTTATAGAGAAACAAAAGATTTAAAGGTATTGTAATTGTATATCACTAATGACGCAAAATGGGTTGAATGATAAGATGATAATTGTGTGATATATGTTAGAGCTTTCTTAATTTCTCTATATTTCAAATATGACAACAATATATGCCTCTGCTATCTTTTCATTTTTCAAAAATTAAAATCTATGAAATGGATTGAAATTTAAATTTAATAAAAGAATTAACAGAAATGATTCAGTTTCCACATAAGCAAAAATTATCTAAAGAGAAATTGAAACAAAAAGATAGGAACCATTAATAGAACCATCGAATAATCCATTTTGCTGTTTTATCGAATCGTTCCGTTTGTTCAGTATGATAGCAGAATGATATCGCGCATCATTGAAGCTCAATAAATAATTGAATAATAGAACAGCTACCAAACCATTATCCCTCAAGGAATGCGTCATCTCTTAAGTAATAAGTAACCAACAAAAGTAGCAATAAATAAATAGCAGCAAAAGCTGGCAGCAATAATCATTGTTGTAATAAATAAGAAATGTTATTGGTAAGTAAAGAAAAGACGTTTCTAACAATTAACAATTAAAAATTAACGAAACAATGCAAATTTATGGTTTCTTCTTTTTACAGATATTTAGTCAATGATTGAAAGTGAAATTTATTCGAATTAATACGCAATTGAAATATAATAGAATTTCTTAAAATCGATGAACAAAAATCTTTGTTTTTCAGATGATAGCAATGATAAGACCACTTGTGAAGTTGATAAGTGTAATATCAAGGATTATATGCAGTGTTGATTAATATCATATCAATTATTAGAGAGATATTAACAGTAATGGGAATCAAATGGGAAGGAACAATAATCAAAGATATCTCCATTTGATAGAGAAACTTGAGAGAGACAGAGAGAGAGAGAGAGAGAAAGAGTAACGAAACTATTCCAGGAATGGAACTATTATCAATGATAAATAGCTGATAATAGATTTATGGAAGATGATATAAATTACAAGAAAAAAGTTATTGATTAAAATATGAAATTGATATAATAAAAGCATAGATTCCTAAATAGAAATTATGTGGAAAATTAGTAAAATGAATATTTTATATTGCATTTGATAAGATTCAACGGTGAAAAAAGTAGACAGGACTAAAATTAAATACTGAAATAAATATTCTAAATTCTAATAAATCATTAGATTACTCTCAGTTTATCGTTTCATTAAAAGAGAAGAAAAATATTTCAAACAATCATCCATCGTTCTCTAATATTTCTGATAAACTATAATTGGAGAAATTAGAAAAATTGAATAATCAATATATGAATAATCAAATACAATATTGAATAATCAAATACTCTCTTATATGTATTATTAATCTAATTTAAATTACGTATTCAAACTAAAATTAAAATTGGATGAAAAAGAATAAAAATATATTTCGTTATATCTTACACTCTTAAAAGATAAAATATAGGATCGATTGATGGATATGAGGAAGAATGAGAGAATGTTAATGAAGTTAGTTTGATTTCATTAAAATTGTTTGTCTAAAGATTATGAAAAATGAAGAGGACGTGTACGGATAAAACTTTTCCAATAGCAACTAAACTAATTTTTCAACTATCCTAAATATATTTTAAGAACAAAGAAAAGATGAACAAACTGATTAGTCAATTGAAATTTCAATAATTCTTACAAATTCCAACTTTATCAGAATATTAATTTGTACTACAATTTGCATGTTAAAAAAATTCTGTACTAAAAATTATTATTTTAATTAAAGTATTTATAAATTAACTTATTTGAGATCATGCAAAGTTTATAAAGGTCAAAAGGTGAAAATTCTGCACTTTCTTAATCTGAATTTGGAATATAATGAAGCAGATGAATAACTGAAATTTTGGACTGTAGTAAAATAGATAAATAACTGAAACGAATAGGTATAACATTAGAACTTCGACATTCATAATAATAGTGTAATCTCCTTTATTAAGCAAAATATAAAGGTCAAGTGTCATTTATAGTTTGGTCAAGTATTTCTCCTAATGGAACAATCATTTTGCTAATGGAATAATATTGAAATTCTCAATATTTAAATTAACAACAATATCTACAGTAACTGCTGATAATTATTTCGAATTGATTTACTGAAAGAAACTTAAAAAAGCAAAAAGGAACCAGTTTTTATCTTTATTTTATCCCTCTATGTCTCATTTTAAAACTTCTATGTTAACAATCGATTTCAGACAGGATAATATGAAATTAGACGAACGAGGATAGTAGGAATGATGATTGATGATGAATTTAATAATGGCAATAATTATTTGAAAATAATAATCACAGTTATAATATTAATTACTATTAATAATAATAACAAATAATAAACGAATAATAATTGAACAAATAATAAATAGCAAATAAATTAGTAATATCTAATAAACGATAATAATAGTAATAATAATGATAATAATGGTAAGAGTATAAAGATAATGATGGATATTGACATGGATAATGATGAATTGTAATAAAAATTATTGAAATAATGGAAAATATTTGTATGAAACAAAAAAGAAAACTTTCAACAATACAAATCCGACATGACTAATATTACATTTTCATAAAGGTAGAAAAATTTTTATAATAAATTAAACAAAAATTGAACTTTTGGCTAATGAGATCGAAGATCAAGAGAGAAGTATCATATAAAGGAATCATTTCAAAATCAAATGCACTTACAACAAACTCAAAAATAAAATCACTTTGTTTTTTGTGAAGAAAATATGACAATATGAGATGACTGCGTATCTTGGCACCTTCTATATGAATGTGACAAGAATCTGTTGCTCGTCTTCTCTCTCTCTACTGATTTGCTGCGTAAACTTATTGGTATATATAAAATAACAATTGAAATTATAAATCAGATACAATGATATATGAGTGTGATACGTCTGATAGATTTTTCTTTGGGAGAAAAAGAGAGGGAGAGGGAAAGAGAGAGAGGGAGAGAAAAAATGGATTCTAAAAAATTGAGGTGAAAGAAAATTGGAGGAAAAATTGACAATGATATAAGGACAAATTGGCATAACGGAGGAGTGGAGACGAAGAAGGAATGGATTGGTAAGATTATAGTGCGATAAGGCGCAAAACGATCCTACCACCTTCCTCGCTTAATTTCATTTTGTTTTTCTAACATAAAATAAGAAAATGAGGAAAAAATCATGGCAAGTATATGTGGTTCAAAGAAATTATTCATATGAGAATTATTTGATAAGAGTTGAAAGTTCAAATGGGTCATTCTCGAATATACAATAAATGTTTAGTTTACAGCTATCATAACAACAATAACCATTTTCTATTCATTATAAAATTACTATTTCTAATTAGGTTATTTTAAATTATCAAAACAAATAGAGATAAACTTTTTACAATTACCTTCTATGAGTATGAAAAACTTTTTCAATGAATTTCCAGCACTTCAATAAAAGATAGTTATGTGATTAATAAAATGAATAAATTAGTAACATAGAGAGAGAGAGAGAGAGAGAGAAAGAGAGGAAGAGAGGAAAAAAAGAAACTGCTATCCCGTATAATAATCAAAAGTATGACCTCTGAATTTGACCTCTAAAAAATGATAACTAAAAAGCAATGATGCTATTTGTTGAGCAACCCATCTATCTTTTTCTTATTTTTTCAGGATGAATTTAGATGTTCACCCTGTACTTCCTGTATCCTTATTGATTGTTGTTCCTTATGATGATCATCATTAACTATCATCGAAACGTTGCTACTATTGTTGTTGTTGTTGTTATTGTTGTTGCTGCTGCTGCTGTTATTGTTGTTGTTGTTGTTGTTGTTATTGTTGTTGTTGCTATTGTTGCTGTTAGTAATGGATGAATTAGGACGAAGAGCGTTAAACATGTTATATGATGCTGCAAAAATTATTGCAACGTTAGTGAATGAAAGAAATAATTAATTAATTGATTACGAGAATAGCTGCTTATTAACTTCACAATAGCTGTTCATTATTAGTATTTGATTATTAGTATTTGAATTTGTAAAGTTGAAATTTACAAATTTATAAAATAAAAACTTTTTTTCGAATGATATGTAAAAATCATTTGAATTGAAGCAATTATTAGCTTTGTAAATCGAAGATAGTAATTTGAAACAAAAGTGAGAATAAATCTTTCTATGTTAGGATTTCAGGGAAAACCATAAAATTTGAGGATTGTAATTTCATTTTGGCTCACAATCGACTAAGCAATATTCTTTCTTTAATTATTGACCCTTGAACTTATTCGTTCCACTGTCCTTACATTCATTCATTATCACATATCCGAAAGCAAGACGTTAAATTCAAAATAAAGCAAGCAACAGAAAAAGAAAGCCCGATAATTTTAAAATAACAATTACCATTTATGAAATATAGCGCATATTCTGAAAAAAATATTTTCCACAACTTGAAATTTGATAATTTGTAAGTTCAAAGTTCAATAAATTTTAGCATTCAAAAAAAGAGAAGCAAAATTTTGTTTTTGCTCTCTATGATTTAATTTCTTTTCAATTTTCTATCCCATCAATTAGTAATGGTAAAATTTGAAATACCTTTCTTCATCTAATCGTATTATTTGATATCAATCGGATATTAATCTTCTTGATATCGATTTTCTTCATCGATATAGTGGCAAAAATCTTCATTTATAGCTACTTTTATGGTGAAGATTGCAAGCAGGAGAAAATTTAAGGAAAATAAACTTACTGGAAATATCAATACCCAAGCAAGTGATCCATTCACGAGCGCTTATTTCGCCATCCTTATTTAAATCACAATATTTAGCAAATTTTTTGGCGCAAATTTTTGGTGTAACATGCTTTCTAAACTACACAAATAATATTATTATTATTATCAGTTTATCAGACAACGATTTCACACATTTTATTTTTTACTGATAAATGTTATAAATATTATCAAAGTGTAGCACAAAAAATTTTTTCAATTAATTTGGTAATAAAACATCGAAAATTTTCTGTATTATTAATTCAATAAGATAAATCATTCATGAACGTTCGAATTTCGATATGTCAAATGGCAGTGATAATATATCATCAAATTGTCTTGAAATTTTGAGAAGACATCTTCGCACATGACCCGCTTTGCAATACAACAAATCAATAAATCAAGTAAGACAATAAATGAGTAATGCTTCCGAATGATAAGTCATACCGAACAAGACGACGTAAACCGCCGAATTCTTTCGAACTTAACCGGCTATTCTTATCATTATCAAGTTGACCAAACTTCCATATCAATATTTTCTTATCAAATAATTGCATTGCTCCATTCGTATCTAAAAGATAATAATAATAATAATAATGCTGCAAATTACGTTTTCTATAAGTGTTTAATTATCATCAATAATCTTAGTTAATCATCATTTACCCTTAATTATCTCTAAATATCTCCGCTAATTATAATTAATTTTAGTTTAAAAACGACAGAATAAATTAATTAACTGTGAAAGCAACAGTGCTTCATTTGAATTTAAATTCTCTTCGAACTTGAAATGATAAATTTTAATTTAAAATATAATTCAAAAAAGGAAGCAAGCTTAAATCCGCAATTTTTTAATTACTGATAAAAAAGAAGCAATCCTTAAAAAAATTTACGATGCAAAATTTGTTCACTTCGTTCGTATTCTTTTTTAAAAATATTCAATAAATTGGCATTGAATGTCGATCGATCGGCTGTCGAACAAACTGCAAAAATTGCGATACTTAAAATTAATTGACAAATAAAATTGTTAATGATAGCATTCAGAAGAGGGATAAATCTTGAAATGAAAATAATAACATTTAAATAAAGATATTAATTAGAATGAGTTATATAACTAAAATGTAATCGAGGATAGATTCACTCAAAAAAGTTCACTATTAAAAAGTTTATTATTATATGGAATGATACATACCATTTAAGGATAAAGAATCGCCATTACTTTTTCGATGTGAACGTCGTCCAATTTTTGTTTCTACAAATTATTATTATTATATCAGAAAGTACAAAGATTTATTATCATGATACTTATCATTCTTTTAAAAATTTATTTTACTTATTTATCTATCTGTTAAATAATTTGTTAGTGAAACTTTTTAAAAATTTATCTATCTGGTTGACTTCTATCCAACAAAATTTTGCTTTGTGGTAATTCTAAAGATTTGCATCATATAGATTGTTGACCTTCTATATTTTTGAACTTAAAAAGAAGCCTATTATAAATATATGTAAAAAGCAAACTTTGTAAAATATGACAATTTGGAATGCCAAATCGTTTAGATGTACTTGGTAACGGTCGTCCAATCCGTGTCACACACCAACAATAACCCGTACTTCTATGACACTGTAATATTTGCATTTTATGATAATTAATTACTAATTCTGAAAAGTAAATATCTGTTCCATCAGGTCAAGGAAAAAAATTTTCAAAGATGATATATATTGTTTACCACAATTAAAAGATTCGATAGATAGAGAAAGTTTTACGTTTTAAAAGTCATTTAATAATAATGATGATAAAAGATTGATAACGGAATAAATGATTGAGGTAAAAAAAGAAAGAATTTCCCGTATATTTAATAAATATGAATAACCTGTATGGTAGCATATGAACCATCGGTAGCATTGCATTCCGGTACGTAAACTTCGCTGCTATTCATTTTTTCCGCTGCTAATTTCAACTGATAAGCTCTTTCCAGTTGGCATCGTAAATTTTCTGCAAAAAATTTTCCTGAATTATTCGAAATATTGAACTTATTTTCCTGCAAATATTAATTTTGCAAATAACATTAAATTGATGTTATCCAATCATTGATTTTTGAACATTTAACCCTTAATCTTTTAATGCATTGAAAAAATGAGAAAATTCAGAAATAAACATGCCGGGACAAGGTCCAGAAAACTGTTTTTTGACCGGATTACCATGACATATCGCACGTTTCACCTCACAATATGAATTATAAGTTCTTCCATCACTGCCACAAATTGGTTCGACGTTCATCTCTTCATAATTACACAATTTTTGCATAAAGCATTCCTCTTCTCCTTGCTAAATATCTTTGCAAACAATTAGCCAAACATTGTAAGTGAAATAATACTAAAATAAAATGTTTAATAAAGTTTCAGTTTAAGTAAACAAAAATTTAAAAAAAACAAATATCATTTTACACTTATTATTAAAAGGATATCAAAAGTCAAATAATCGAATATTAATTATAAGACAATTTATTAAGCAATTAAATTTGCTATTCGATTTGATAATTTGCCATTTCAATTTCAAGCAATTCCGCTATTTCTTCCATCTCAAAATAATACTTTTCTTCCTTTTTTCCTTCCGTACGACTTTTTTTTTGGAAAACATTCCATTCTTCACTTTTTTTCGTCTCATCTGATTGATTAGTTTGTCGCAGAACGTATCCGCCAATTTATCAGAAAAAGATAACATTAGAAAATTATTTTAAATTTCTTCCCATTGTTTTAAGTATTTATTGATATCTTTTAAAATTACGATTATACGGTGAAAATTATCAAAAAATTTGCTAAAAAATATAACTGAAAAAAAATGTTATATGAATTCATTATAATTCAATATGTTAAATGAATAGCTGGTAGGAATTAAAAAAATATGAAATAATATTTTAATTTCCTCTATTTATCCATCGCATAGTTTTTTGAAAATAATTTGAAATATGTTTGAGAATTTTAAAATAGAACAAATATATTTGATAACATATAATATAGGTAAGATATACTTTGTTGTTGAAACTTATACATTCTATACGCCAATTTTATTTGTTATAAAATCAAACAACAAAAGTTTTATATGAAAATAAATGGCATCTAATCAATGTAGGCCTCATATCATTGAATTTCTATTGCAAATCTCTTTCAAATTTAAGGTGGAAAAGATGATAAAGAATATTTAAATTATACCATTAATAGTAAATGATAATTCATTTTTATCTTTGAAATTATTAATTGGAAACTTACAGATCGATGACTTCGAAGTTGTGCGATTGTTGTTAATGCGAATGAATTTATACAGGTACTACCCATACCAATAAGCAAATAGGTAAGGAATAAGTAAATTGGCATCGTTTGAGAATGATTTCTGGCTGGCCCAATAAGCTATCCAACCCACCATGTAACAGTTTCCAATGCTTTTTTGTTGATAGCGCTTTCTTTCATTATCACTGAATCACTATATTCAGTGAATCACTGAATATACAAATAGGAAGAAGATGAAGAATCTGAAACTGTTGAAAGATATACAAAAAAATAAATTGATTTATGAAAGCGATGAAATGGAATATCGTTTATTTGATATATGGCATCATTTAAAAATATCTCTTTAACATTCAAATAATTTAATGCAATTCATTCAAGAATTATTTAAACGGAATATTGAAATTAAAAAAAAAAACTTCATCATTACCGTATGCAAATGATAAATCAACAAATTATTGAGAGTTGATAAGAATATTTGAATAATTCATCACTTAAGTGATTATTATTACTCATCATCTTTTCAGTTATAATATTCATGAAGAGATTTTCTTCTTTTATCTTACTCGAATTTATTGGTACTTTTATTATCATTTTCAAAATGAAAATGAAAATAGAGAAATCTTATCGAATTTAACCATCTGTCATTTTGAATTAAACGGGAAAGAATAGAGAAAATTAAGGAAAAAAGTACAAGCTGTATCGGTAAAATTATTTTAAAAAAATGAATGAAATTTTTTTGGTAACAAATTTACATTTCAATTAAATTGTCTCAGTGGTGGTAGGTACTAGTTCGTACCTTCCAGTTCATTTTCACCCACTCTTTTTATTTATACATTGTATTTTGCTTCAATTACAAAATGCCAAATATAAAAAAATATATATCACATATTACCAATATCGTATATTATATATATCATATTGAAATTTATATATGTATAATATTATAAATTATAAATATAACATATTTTTATATTACGTAGAATGTTATATACAACGCTATATCAAATATATAATTTAATTCATACATATATGAATACAAACTTAATTGCGCATTATTCTAATTATCAGATACGGTATGAAAGTGAATAAAGGAGTTTAAGTGCTATAAATGAAGTTTCAAGATTGGTTGAAATTTCGGTCCCTGTGGTAATAAGTATAAAAGAGAATAATAGAAGCAACTGTTTCGAATTCTTATCTGATAATTTAGCATATGTTTATATGCTAAATTATCAGATAAGAATTTTTTTTTATTTTAATTAATTACTGGAAGTGGAAGAGCTGAAAGATTGCGAATTTTTTTATGTTCAAAATTTGATTGAATTAAATGATTAGAAAACAAAAGTGTAGTAAAAGTGAATTAGTTCAATTCTTTTTTCAAATCAAATTAATCTTTAAATCATTTTAATATCTTTTAGAAATACTTATTTACTTTCATACTAATAAATATCATGAAATTGATGAATAATTCATTTTGCAGTATACAGTATGCCTTGAATAAACAAACCATTCCAAAGCATGGATATTTCGAAGAAATCTCGACAAACGAAGCATAGAATGTTCCCGAGGTTTATCATTTAGAAATGAAGAAAAAAAATTTCTGGATACCATTTACAATAGTCAGACGACAGTAATTTCTGTTCAGCCTGATGTTTTGGTAATTCGGTTTGTGAGAATTTTCATGATTCATCCGACAATGGCGTTCGGATTAGATTGTTTCAACATAACATTTTGCATATTTAAAAAAGCTAGAAAATAATAATAATAATAATAAATCCATTGAAGAAATTGTAACATAGAAAATAGCTTTGCTTCTATTTCAAAAATATTTTGTCGCAAATTATTTCGATGAAAAAGCCTAAACCAAAACTGTCAATTTATTCAAAGATTGAAGGAAAGTAAACCAAAAAGAATTATTTTGCTTCTAAATTAAATGGAAAAAGGAAGCATCTAAATTCGTTGAAATAAGAAATTACTGAAGTAAAATCTCAAAGTAATCTGTTTTTAGGTTAATTTCCCACAATTTATTCCTTTCTAAAATAAAATAAGAAAAATTAAAAAACTCACGAATTAAAGAAAGATGAATTTGAAAATGATCCTAACACCTATCCATAATTTCTACAATATCTCCAGCAGATAGTAATATATCTGATATAATATTGGAATGATTAATTGATATTAGAATTTAGTGAATCCGACTTACCTCTTTACTTTTCTCGTTCTATTTCCCACATTAACCTTCCAGTGTCTCCTGAACATCATGGCTTAACAAAATACCTTATGAAAATCAATTCAACTATTGATGGAAGAAGTTCCATAATGATAAGATAGCATCAGTACCAGGAACGAGTGACCTTGACTTAAGTGTCGATAAGGCAAAATATGTTCCGATCATACATCAATGTCTTTTAGAGTTTCAGTGAAATTCAATGAATTGAAAAATTCAAATGTCTCAATGAAAGAATTATGATCAAAAACACGAAATCTATAAAGGGAAAAGAGAGAGAGGTGAACAATTTTGAATTACATTTCAAGGCAATAAACTGTATAATTGAAATTAAAATTTTCAGTCATACTTCTGCAACGAATGTTGCTAATAGATAAAATGACTTAAAATGAGTGAGAATTCTCGAGTTTACGTGAGATAGGATACGTAAAATACGTGATATGATATGATCTAACAGAGACTAAATGAAATTGTTTGAGAAAAAATCAGGAAATTGTTATTATTAATTACACATTACAATAAAGATAGATGCTTGCATAATTTCGATGGTAATATTTGTCACGTAATGTTGCGCTTTTGCGGAATATCTCTTTAATGTAATTTTGCGTTAAACGTTTAGGCTGTATTGAAGTAAGGACAGATGATAGCTTAGGTCGAATTCTTAAAAATTTCAATATTTCATTTTGTCTTAACAAAATGAAATAGAGTTACAATTATTTGACTGCTAACTTCTTTTACATTTCTTTTCATGCAGTACGTAAGGATTGATTAAAATAAGCGCAAAATTTGCCATAAAGGATAGATATTTATAAATTTACATATTAGCTAACCATCTACCAGAGAATCAAGAATTTTCAACTATTTCTTTTGTTCGTTTCTATTCCTATTGAAATGATCATAATGTTTTCAAATGCGTTTACTTCAAATTTCAGGTACTGTAATGAGAACGTAGATAAATAATGATTATTTGAAGCATGAAAATATAATTTCAAATTCACATAAATATTCGAATCGTACTGTCAAACTAAACCTTTTATCCTTTAACCTTTTCATTTCTACCAGTAAAAAACAATCTTCTTCCTCTTCGTTTTTCTATTTCAATATTTTATCCAAAGTATTCATATTGCTGATGCAAAATATCGCATCCTTTTCTTCCATTCACAAGCTATTACAATCATCAACTAAAATTATAGTTTGTTGTGATGAACTTACAACCTCTGGCAACTATTATCTGATCATTCTACCAATATTCTATCATCAGTTTCAGATGAATCGATGGTTTGTAGATGTCGTTGTCGCATAATTGTAAGGAAACGATAATCAAAAATTGGCGCAGCCTAGATGAAGATGATTTTAAACCGGAGGCGGGAATGGAACGCGGATTGGTCGCTATGAGATGATTCCTTTATATATCTCCAAGACAATGTTTTTTCGTTCATTCTTTGAAAGGTAATCATCAAAATTCTGATGGTTCCTTTGGCCTGTCTGGGACAGGATGGCGCCAGACGGCGCCGATTACATGCTCATCCATAGCGCATATACATGTCATTTGACAAAGTTATTGTGACTATTTCATATAACTTTGTTATTTAATATACTGATAATGATATGTGATAATGACAAACCGTATTATTAGTATAACAGACCGATACATACGGTACTGAATCTTAGAAATGCCTAAGGGCCTAAGAAACGGTCAATAACCTGATGATTTTCATACTATTGTCATTCCTGCAGCATCAATACGGTAGCATTCTTTTATTGATACT